GTCCCATTAGCCCCACTGGAAGTAATCTCTGAGAACAGAACCAGAAATAAACCCTGTGCACCACCAGTTATGGCCTCCAAACCAAATACATAAAATAATTCAATTGCTAATTTTTTAAGGTAGCACATTCTACTCTTCGAGATCATTGATGGTGCACCTCTGAGTTCCATGCATCGTTTTTGTCAGACCTTTTTCTTCCCCCTCCACGCTGTCTCTGTTAGTCAACCCAGACATTTTCATTTCCTTGGATACTTAAATTTTGAGTTAAAGAGGTAGGGAATTGTTTGCATTGCTTTAGATCACAAAATTGTATTTAAAGAAAGTCGTAGATTTTTATCAGCCTTACATGATTGCAAAATCTCTACCCACTTGAGTTGATGGTGAAACCATTCCCTTCATCCTTCTTTATTTCCAGTGTTTCAGTCACACTGTTTCCTTGACTTGCTAGTTCATGTTATGTAGCCAACTGGTTGAGCAACCTAGTCCTTTCTCCTGCTAGTTTCCCAGGGAGATACATCTATCAAAAAAGTGGCAGTGTATACAATGTTGCTATAGAGTTGAAAGATTAAATATAGAGGCCGGTATTCCCATCTGATCCACCCTAGTTAGGAAAGGGCAAAGGATATTACACCTGGCACATCTCTTATTTCCTTAATGAAATGTTATTTCCTTTATAGTCCTTATAGTGTTTTTTGTTGGGAAACGGGGGGTTGGGGGTAGTTCAGGATAAAACTTACAGGGAGAATTCTTCATTTCTTTAAAATGCATCTCACCCTGGGTAAGGGGGCTGGCTCAGGGAACACGTGCATGCCTTGCATGTGCAGAAACCTGCATTCGGTTCCGGGCACCATTTAGCTCTCTGACATCACCAGGGATGGCACCACTGGGCCAGAGACCCGTCACACTGACAGGCCCTAGCCCTGAGCAGTCAGCTCCAGTTGACACAGTCAGGAGTAGCCGTTGGGACTCCCAAGCAGTACTCAGGAGTTCCTAACCCCCCCCCCCCCCGCTTTCCCCACTCCCCGCATACCACCACCACTAACACACACACACACACACACACACACACACAGAGCAGAAATTTCACTCTGCCATTTTATACAACAAAGTAAGATAAGACAGGGAGCAAACTGAGCTGGAAAGGGCATAGTTCATGTTCCAAAGCAAGGTGTAGCATTTGTATTGCAACTTCAGAAAACCCCTGCCCTCTTGGGGATGGGCCAGAGAGCCAAGCGTGGAGGTGGTTCCAATAGAGGTGGTTCCATCTCCTGATGGGAGGGTGAGGGGAGGAGAACACACTTCTGCATCTATTTAAAGGGCAGCACTCTTTTTTTTGTTTTTTTGGCTTTTTGGGTCATACCTGGCAATGCATGCACAGGGGTTACTCCTGGGTCTGCACTCAGGAGTTACTCCTGGTGGTGCTCAGGGGACCATATGGGATGCTGGGAATCAAACCCGGGTCAGCCACGTGCAAGGCAAATGCCCTACCCGCTGTGCTCTCTCTCCAGCCCCAGGGCAGCACTGTTAAGCCTTGCTGCTGAGTAGCAGTTTGGATATGTACCTGTACCCCAATATTCCTTCTTTTTCTCCACTTGGAAGAGTTTAGGTGGTTTTTCATGCTTTTCTAAATAGTCTGTAGAACTCGCCAGCCAGGTCATCGCATCCTTGACTTCCCTTCATTGGGAGGGTTTTGATCACTGTTTCACTGTTCTTAGTAGTAATTGGTCTGTTCAGATTTTCTGTTTCGTCATAATTCAGTCTTGATAGGTTGTATGTGTCTTGGAATTTAGCCACTCTTGCAAGTCATGCCATCTATTGGCTTATAATTATATATGGTACTCTTTTTGTCTTTTAATTTATTTTATCGAATCATTTAGAGATACAGTTACATGCTTTCATGAGTTACAATCACACAATGATCAAACACCCATGCCTCCACCAGAGTATATTCCCCACCACCAATATCCCCAGTATAACCCCCCTTTCCCACCCTCCCACTGACTCCATGGCAGACAATATTTCCTATACTTTCTCTCTGCTTTTGGGCATTATGGTTTGCAATGCAGATAATGAGAGGTTATCATGCTTTCTCCTTTATCTACTTTCATCTCTCATCCCGACCAACTCCTCCAATCCTTATTTTTTTATGATCTTTTGTCTATTCCAGCTGCCTCTCCTCCCCCGCCCCCCCCCTCCTGTCATGAGGCAGGCTTCCAACTATGGAGTAATCTTCCTGGCCCTTGTATCTACTGTCCTTGGATGTCAGTCTCGTGTTATGTTATTTTATACTCCACAAATGAGTGCAGTCCTTCTATATCTGTCCCTCTTTCTGACTCATTTCACTTAGCATGATACTCTTCATGTCTATGTCTATTCACTTATAAGCAAGTTTTATGACTTCGTCTCTCTTAACAGCTGCATAGTATTCGATTGTGTAGTTGTACCAATTCTTTTTTTTTAAATTTTATTGAATCACCGTGAGATATTTCAAGCTTTCATGTTGGGGTTACAATCACACAATGATCAAACACTCGTCCCTCCACCAGTGCACATTCCCCACCACCAATATCCCCGGTATAACCCCCTTTTCCCACCCTCTCACTGACTTCATGGCAGACATGATTCCCCATAATCTCTCTCTACTTTTGGGCATTATGGTTTGCAATACAGACCCTGAGAGGTTATCATGTTTGGTCCTTTATCCACTTTCTGCACACATCTCCCATCCCCACCTATTCCTCCAGCCATCTTTTTCTTAGTGATCCCTTCTCTATTCCAGCTGCCTTCTCCCCTTTGCTCATGAGGCAGGCTTCCAGCTATGGCTCAATCTATCTGTCCCGTGTATCTACTATCCTTATCCAGGTGTCAGCCTCATGTTTTGTTGTTTTATACTCCAAAAATGAGTGCTGTCCTTCTGTGTCTGTCCCTCTCTTTCTGACTCATTTCACTTAGCATGATACTTTCTCTGTCTATCCATACCAAAGTTTCTTTAACCAGTCATCTGTTCTCGGGCGCTTGGGTTGTTTCCAGGTTTCGGCTATGTGAACAGTACTGCAATGAACATATAGATACAGATGTCATTTCTACTGTGCTTATTTGCACCCTCGGGATATATTCCCAGAAGTGGTATTGCAGGGTCATATGGAAGTTTGATTTCTAGTTTTTGAAGTACTGTTATCATTATATCTGGTACTCTCTTAAGTTTTGGTATATTTTTTTTTTTTGGTGTCAGATATCAGATCTCCTCTTCCATATCTATTTTTATTTGAGTCCTCTCTTTCTCTTAGTATAGCTAAAGATTTGTCTATATTTCTTTCTTTAAAAATTCTACCTGGTCTAGGAAGATAGCTCAAGTGGTAGTGCTCATGCTTTAGCATGTGCAATGTCCAGAGTTAATCTGCAGCACCACATGGCCCCGAGTACGCTGTGGTCCCTGCGTACTGCACCACTTAGCCTGCATTTTTGGCTGAACACTGTCAGTGCCTCCCTCAGCCCTTCCTACCTGGGCACTGTAGTGGCTGGCCTCTATTTAAATAAGAAAGGGAAAATAGTAAAACAAGCCTTGTCTTTTCTGTTTCATTGATTTCTCTATTATCTTTGAGGTTTATATTCGACCTACTCCTGCTTTGATCACTGTTAGTATCTTCTAATTTAATTGTCTTCATTTTAGCTTATTTTGGTAATTTGTTTGTTTTGTGTTGAGGGTCATACCCAGTGTTGCTCAGGGCTTATTCTGGCTCTCCACTCAGAAATTACTCTTGGCAGGGCTCAGGAACCGTCTCTGGTGTCAGCGATCAAAACTGGATCAGCCAGGTGCAAAGCAAATGCCTTTCACACCATACTATCTCTCTCTCTCTCTCTCAATCCGAGTTGTATAAAATTCAGTTTATTTGAGATTGCATATTTTGTTGTTTGCTTGTTCTTGGGCCACACTCAGCTATGCTTAGGTCAGATCTCACTTCTTCCTGACTCTGCGCTTAGGGATCACTTCTGCTAGGGCTCAAGGAAGCATATGGTGTGCCAGGAATTGTGCCCAGGCTTGCAGAATGTAAGGCAGGTACCCTACCTGATGTATATTTTTCTGGCCCTTATTTTTATATTTGATTTAGGTACTTATAGCTACAGACTCCCCCCTTGAATTGTGTTTACTGCATCCCTTAAGTTGAAGTATGTTGTATTTCCATTTTCTTTTATCTCATTATATTTATTCCTGTTGTATTTTCTTCTTTCACTCATTAGTTATTCTCCACATATTCATAAATGTCCTGGTTTTCTTCTTATAATTTTTCCTAGCTTCATGGAGCTTTTAAAGAACTTGATGATGCTATTATTTGCTGATGGGATATCAGCAGAATTGAGAGGTTGCAATTCAGCTCAGAAACCTCCTGCCCTATCATTATATTTTTGGAAGTGGCTGTAATCATGCCATTCTGGCAGTCAGAATGAAAAACCCGATTCTACAAAGTACTCAATAGCCTCCTACTATACTGTGGGCGATTTATAGTAGATTGGTGCTGCAGAAAACCTCAGTGTAGGGGCCGGAGTGATAGTAAAGTAGGTAGAAAATTTGCCTGTCACATGGCTGACCCGGATTTAATCCCCAGCATCCTATGTGGGCCTCTGAGCACTGCCAGGAGTAATTCCTGAGTGAAGAGCCAGGAGCGTCATCACCGGGTGGGATTCAAAAAACAAAAAAAAAAAAAAAAAGAAAAAGAAAAGAAAGAAAACCTTAGTCCTGTCAGACTGACCTATAGTTATCATTTCTTTCTCACCATTACACGATGAGGTTCTGGAGAACTCAGGAGGATGTCTGGGGAGTCTCTGTATTTCCTTCAAGTTCTTGAATACCAATAATCTATATTGTTAGGTCCTCCAGTAGGATATTAAGTTTCATGATATTTTCTGTTACTTTCCTTCTAGGAATGTGATGTGTAAAGACAGCAGCAAATAAGCTTGTTGTATATATTGGAGTTAACAGTTTCCTTTTTTTTTTTACATAGGAACTCTCCAAAATCACCATGCCAGTTATATTTAATGAGCCTTTGAGCTTCCTACAGCGACTCACTGAGTATATGGAGCACACATACCTCATTCACAAGGCCAGTTCATTTTCTGATCCTGTGGAAAGGATGCAGGTATGTGACATACAAGGACTGGAAAAGATTCAGGCCTTTGAACCTTCTCTGCCACCTTTTCCTTCTTCCAGCCCACATACACATTCATAAAAATAAGAGTAAGGCTACTATGAGGCTGGGAAATGTTATTAGGCCTTACTCAGAATGTTTGGAAGTCTTGGTGGTTCTTTCCCCTGCTCATGATCTGGTCAGAGTACTGCCATAGTGGAGAGATCAGTAACAATCTATTGAGACGCAAAGGGTGGTCTGTTAGCAAACCTGGATACTGCTGAGCTGTTTCTGTGTCTTCACTTTGAACAGGCATTTGTGTTGTTGGGAGGAAAATTCAGCCTATCTGCTTTTATCAGAAGAGTATTTTAGAAGGAATAAACACATATGCATACTTCTGCTTATGCGTATCTGTGTACATGTATACTACTTTAAGTTAACAGAAAACAATAGAGAAATATGCTTGTAATTTTCTCTGAGCAGATGTTGTATGTGGTATATATGGATGGGTTAGATAAAGGCAGAAGAGGTACCTTATTTTCCTTCAGACAATAGCTTCTGAACTAGTCTTTTCTCCTTTCAGTTAGTTTTTGCCAGCCCTGCTGCACTTAACGCCAGTTTGTTTAGTTTTCCCTGCTCCCAAAATATTTAAACTTTAAAAAAAAAAAACTTTAAAGAATTGAAAGTAATTTTTGGTTTCGAAGACCTTTCAAGCCCTTAAGAAAATCTGTAGCACCCTTAGGACATTAAAAAAAATGTTTTTAAAGAAAACATAGTGAGGAATGACAGTGTAGGATTTACATAGGGAATATGATGTTTGCATTTTCAGTGGCTAAAATCATATTCAAAATCCGAGGTGACTAAACTTCTCAAAATAATTTAGCATATTACTGTCTCGCACAACTCTCCCTGCCTGAGAAAGTGAGGAAGAAGTCGGGCTAGGGTTAATGTCTGCTTCTGTCTCCCAGTGTGTAGCTGCATTTGCTGTCTCTGCTGTTGCGTCTCAGTGGGAGCGAACTGGAAAGCCTTTCAACCCCCTTCTGGGAGAGACCTACGAACTAATTCGGTAAGACCTTTCCCTTGATTCTGAATGACTAAATTGGTACAGTACATGTAGTTTTCCAAAACGAAGAGGAAATTTTCATTTCAGTCATCATCAATAATTTGCACCAATGGAGCAAGTCAATTTTTTTTTTTTGCCTGATTTTGTCCAATTCAGTATTTTTTTTTCTCTTTTTTTTTCCCTTTATTTTATTTTATTTTTTTTAAAGTTGTAGATTTACAATTTTTTGTGCTTTGGTTTCAATTATACAATGATCAGATACCCATCCCTCCACCAGTGCCCATTTTCCACCACCATGGATAATATCCCTCCCACCCCCATCCCCCCATCCCCCCTGTCTCTGTGGCAGGGCAATCCCCTGTGCTCTCTCTCTCCTTTTGGGTGTTGTGGTCTGCAAAAGAGGCATTGAGTGGCAAACATGTTCAGTCCATAGTCTACTTTCGACATGCATCTCCCCTCCTGGGAGGATCCTCCAAACATCCTTTATTTGGTGCTCCCTTCTCTATCTGAACAGCCCTTTCCTCTAGGATACCCGGCTGGCCTCTAAGTTATGGAGTAATCCTCCTGGTGCTGATCTCAGCTATTCTTGGGTATTAATCTCATACTTTGTTACTTTATATCCCCCAGATGAATGCAATCTTTCTATGTCTATCCCTCTCTTTCTGACTCATTTCGCTTAGCATGATACTTTCCATATTGTACCACTTGTATGTAAATTTCATGACTTCATCTTTTCTAAGAGCTACATAGTACTCCATTGTGTAGATGTACCAAAGTTTCTTTAACCAGTCATCTGTTCTTGGGCATTCAGGTTTCTTCCAGTTTCTGGCTATTGTAAAGAGTGCTGCAATGAACAAACAAGTGCAGATGTCACTTCGACTATACATTTTTGCCTCTCTGGGATATATTCCCAGGAGTGGTATTGCTGGGTCAAATGGGAGCTCAATTTCTAATTTTTTGAGAATCGTCCATACTGTTTTCCAGAAGGGCTGAACCAGTGGACATTCCCACCAACAGTGAAGGAGTGTCCCTTTCTCACCACATCCACGCCAGCATCGGTTGCTTTTGTTCTTTTGGATGTGGGCCAGTCTCTGAGGTGTGAGATGGTATCTCATTGTGGTTTTGATCTGCATCTCCCTGATGATTAATGATGTAGAGCATTTTCTCATGTGCTTTTTTGCCATTCGGATTTCTTCTTTGAGAAAGTTTCTGTTCATTTCATTGCCCCATTTTTGGATGGGGTTGGATGTTTTCTTCTTGTGGAGTTTAACCAGTATTTTGTATATCCTGGATATCAACCCCTTGTCAGATGTGTATTCGGTGAATATCCTTTCCCATTCTGTAGACTGTCTTTGTATTTTGGTCACTGTTTCTTTGGAGGTGCAGAAGCTTCTTAGTTTAAGATAGTCCCATTTATCTATCTCTGTTTTCACTTGCTCGGCCAGTGGCGTGGCATCTTTGAAGATACCATTAGCTTCAATGTCATGGAGGGTTTTGCCAACTTTATCTTCAATGTACCTTATGGTTTCTGGTCTGATGTTGAGGTCTTTAATCCATTTTGATCTTACTTTTGTACATGGTGTTAGGCAGAGTTCTGAGCCTATTTTTTTGCATGTAGCCGTCCAGTGATGCCAACACAATTTATTAAAGAGGCTTTCCTTACTCCACTTCACATTACTTGCACCTTTATCAAAGATTAGATGAGCATATGATTGAGGAGAGATGTCAGTATATTCAACCCTGTTCCATTGGTCTGCAGTTCTGCCTTTGTTCCAGTACCATGCTGTTTTAATTATTACTGCTTTGTAGTACAGTTTGAAGTTCGGGAGGTTGATTCCTCCCATTTTCTTTTTCCCAAGAATTGCTTTAGCTATTTGTGGGGGCTTATTGTTCCATATAAATTTCAAGAGTGTTTGTGGAGCAAGTCAATTTTGATGTTCATTTTTTTGTCATTTGTGGAGAACAACTTTTATAATTTTGTTAGTAACAATTTTGATGTTTCTCTTTTTCCTGTCAAAAATAATTTTTTGTGATTCGTTTTTATAACTGTTTAAGTAACATGGTTACAACAGTGATAACATGTATTATTTTTTTCAAAATTATTGCACCCATCACCACCAAAGTGCCCAAGACTCAACAGCACTGTCCCTGTCCCCACTAACCCATCTTTTCATTGTCCCCACAGTCCCCACCTGCTTGGTGATCAGACTTTTATAATGAAGACCATGTATTTGTCATCATTTGATACGGTTTATTCCCTTGCATTGTCTCTACCAAAGATAAAACACCTTTGTTTTATGTGAGATCATTTGATAGTCATCTTTCTCCTTCTGATGTAATTTACTTAGATACCCTTAAGTTTCATCCATGTTTTGAGTGAAATGCAGTATTTCAACCTTCCTTACAGCTGAATAGTGTTCCGTTGTGTATATACACATCACAACTTCTTTATACTTTCATCTGCTGTAGCACATTTGGGTTGTTTCTATATCCTGGCTGTTAAACTCCACAGTGAACATAGGTATACGTTTACTTTTTTGAATTAGTGTTTTGTGTTTGAGGGTTAGATGCCAAAAAAGAAACACTAGGTCATATCGGAGTTCTTATCTTACATCTTTGAAGAATTTCCATACTGTTTTCCGTAGTGGTTGAAGCAGGTGACATTCCACCAATAGTGAATGAGGGTTAGCTTTTTTACCACATCTCCACCAGCACTTTTTGATATTTGCTATTCTCACTATGCAAGATGATTATCTCATTGTTCTGATTTGTATTTCCATGATAAATAGTGATGATAAGCACTTTTTCTATGCCTGTTGACCCTCTATATAGCTTCTTTGGGAAAGTCCTGCTTGTACGACTTTGAAGAAGTGTCTCTTCTCTTTAGGTTTGGTTTTGGGTGTTTTGGGTTTTGAGGGGTTTTTTGTTTGTTTTATTTTTGGGCCCCAGCCAGCAATGCTCAGGGATTACTCCTGGCTCTGCACTCAGGAATTACTGCTGGTGGTGCTTGGGGAACATATGGAATGCTGGGAATCCAACCCAAGTCAGCCACCTGCAAGGCAAATTTCCTACTCTCTATCACTCCTGCCCCCCACTCATGCTTTTTGAAGGGATTTGAGCTTTGTGACTGCTTTATGCCCTGTAACACTTTCCTCCCATTGTTCATCGATTTGCTCGAGTGGACACCAGTAGTGTCTCACAACAAATTGTAAGACTTGCTGTTACTGTTTTTGGCATATCGAATACGTCATGGGGAGCTTGCCAGGCTTTACCGTGAGGGTGAGATACTCTCGGTAGCTTGCTGGGCTCTCTGAGAGGTGTGGAGGAATCGAACCCGGGCCGACCTTACCCGCTGTGCTATCTTGGATTTTAGCCCTTTATCTGTTTGCAATAGATACCTATTCCACTGAGTGGTTTTTTTTTTTATTGTAGCCCAAATTTCTTTTGCTGTACCAGAACTTTGGGCCTGGGGGTAGTGACACACAGCTGGGCTCAGGTCTTACTCCCAGCTCTCCGCTCATGGATGACTCCAGGTGGTCCTTGGGGGATCTTACAGGGTGATGGGAATCAAACAATGGCCAGTGTGTGCAAAGCAAGCACCCTACTCACTATACTATCTCTCCAGCCCATGCCATGCCATATGTCTTAATTTTATGTAATTCCATTTATTTATTTTTGTGTTGGTTTTCTTTGTGACTGGAGTCATTGAAGATATCCCTCTGAAATTTATATCCTGGAGACTTCTGTGTTTTCCTTAATATATATTTTTTGAATTCCGGGATGATCATGAGATTTTTAGTCCACTCTGAATTAACTTTTGTGAATTGGTGAGATATGGGTCACTTTCCTTTTTTCCTTTTTTCTTTTGCTTGCAATTATCCAGTATTCCCAGTATCATTTGCTGAAGAGGTTTGCCTCACTCCACTCCATGCAATCAGCGCCTTGTCATAGATTAACTGTCTGTAAACCTGAGACTTTATTTCTGAACTCTCAATTCCGCTCCATTGGTCTGAGAGTCTCCTTTGGTTTTGGTTTTGGTTTTTTGTTTTGGGGTCAATCCAGTGGTGCTCAGGGCTTACTCCTGGCTCTGTGCTCAGGGTTTAATTCTGCCAGTGCTCAGAAGACCATGTGAGGTGTTGGAGATCACACTCAAGTTAGCCATGTACATGCTCTCTACCTGCTCTACTATCTCCTCTTCCTGAGAGTTTTTTTATTCCAGTACCACCCAGTTTGGATTGCAGTAGTTTTATAGAACAATTTAAAGTCAGGAAACGTAATACCTTCCATTGTGTTTTTTCTCAAAATTACTTTGGATGTAAGGGTGAGTTTTCTAATTCAATACAAATTTTAAGTGTTGTAATTCCTTGGAAAATGTCATTGGAATTTTGATGGGGATTGCACTGAATCATCTGTATTCCTCTAGGTAGGGTAATCATTTTGACAATGTTGATTTTTCCTGTCAGTGATCCTAGGATATTTTTCCACTTCCTGGCATCCTCTTTTTGTTTCTTTAATAGTGTCACATAGCTTTCAATGTTTAAGTCTTTCATATCCCTTGTTAAGTTCATTTTTAGGTATTTGGTGTTATTGGAAACCATTTAAAAAGTGACTATCTCTTTTATATCTTTCTCTTCTGTGTTCGTTATTGGCATATAGAAATGCAACAGATTTTTGTGAATTGAATTTTTTGGATATGTTTGTCTCTATAATATTTTAGAGACTATGTCAGAAATATGAAAAATATACCATAATAAAAAGTCATTATGGAGATTTCCATATTTCTGATAGTATGATATTATCAGTCTTTCATAAATTGTGCATATGCATGTGAACATATTAATAATCAATTGTGCTGTTTGTATTAAGCATTAAAAATATCTATAAGCACAGTTGTATTTCCTGCTACTTGTTCAAACACAAATAGGAAATTCAGTGAACTTTACTGTTTTTTTCTCAATCTTCCACTTCTCTGCCCAAGGCTTTGCCTCACTTATTTCTTAAATATTTAAGTGGACATATTATTTTCCTGTTCTTATAGGTTTTTAAAAAAATTTATGAGTCACATTATCATTTTATGTGACTCATCTAAATTGATGTGGATAGTCCTTAATACATCAGGTAGCTAAAATTATAATAACAGGTGCCAGAGAGATAGTACTAGTTGGGGGGGGGGGTGTTGCCTTGCACAGGGCTACCCATATTTGCTCCCTGGCAGTCCATATGGACCCCAAGCCCAGAGCCACAGTAAGCCTTGAGTACCACTGGGTGTGGCCCCCAAAACAAAGAAGTATAATAACATTGAATTTGTGTTTTGTGTTACTTTGGTACAGTTTCTCATACGTTAAAGTTATTTCATTGGGATAACAAAGAATTGTTAATTTTGTTAGACTGTTTCTTTAAAACTGTTTGCTCACCAGAATAAAATAAACATTAATGTTTGTGTCTTTTCCTTCAGAGATGACCTTGGTTTCAGACTCATCTCTGAGCAAGTCAGTCACCACCCACCCATTAGTGCATTTCATGCTGAAGGACTGAGCAATGATTTCATCTTTCATGGCTCCATCTATCCCAAACTGAAGTTCTGGGGGAAGAGTGTGGAAGCGGAACCCAAAGGAACCATCACCTTGGAGCTCCTGGAGTAAGTTGCTCTAATCATTAAGCTCTCCTTACATACACTTCCTCACAACTTTACACAGTGGCACCCACATCTGATCTTGTTGAAGTGGGTTATAAATCATCTGTCTCATAAAAGAATTTTGGAAACACAGCAGTAGCTATTGCTAACCAATAGTTACATTTAAAACTTGATGTTTGGGTCAAATAGGACAGTGGATAGGGCATTTGTCTTACATGCGGCCAACCCAGGTTTGATCTCATAGTATCCCATATGGTCTCCCCAGCACCATCAGGAGTAATTCCTGAGTGTACAACCAGGAGTAACACCTGAGCATTACTGCATGTGACCCCAAGAGCCTCCTATCCCCCACCAAAGTAACTTGATGTTTGTGGTGTTTCAATCCGTTTTAAGGTTGGTCACTCCATGACAGTTATTGTGAAACATGGAAACATGTTTCCTTTATATTGTAGTGTGATGATGTTTTGTTTAGCCATCTTTCAAATGAATACTCTGTGAGAAATGTTGAAATAGCAGTTGTTTGACACATCTTAGATATTGGGTAAATAGAAGATCTCTTGCTGCATTAGGAAAAAAATTAAATTCAAAATCTCCTTCTTGTTAGGGTAGAGTAAGCACAGCTTAGCCTCTCTTTCTAAATGCTATAGCTAAAATCTGCAGACCGAAGCATAAAGTCCTCTCTCTGAGGACTCAGAAAATAAACAATAGAAGTCAGTATGAGAGATAAGTCAAAAAAAGCAAAAATCAATACACCAGTGGGTTTCCTCCAGCTCCCCACTCTGTTTTCTAGCTTAGGGTTTGGGCAATTCACATCCCAGAACTAGACAATAGAAACAAAAAAGACCCCAAGAGAAGTACTCTATTAGAGTTTCTGGAAGGAAATTGTTCAGGACGTAGAGAGGAGAGAAAATCCATTTTGTTTCTCTGCCTGCCTTGCTTCCCATATAAGCCTGAGGGCCCAGAGCTATATTCCTGTCTCAATGGCCGCACAGGTACCTAATCCCAAGAAAATTCCTGGACTAAGGAACCAGAGAAAGGGCCCCCTTATAGTCCAGAAAGTGAGTAGAATTCCTGTAACTTTTTGTCTTCTTTTATCTTTTTCCCACAAAACAAGGATTATGGGAAGTGCAATACAAGGAAGAAAGGCAGGAACACCCCCTTCCCACTCCCCCACTAGCTTATGACCAGGGGGATGTTTCTGGGTGGAGAAAACCCCTGGAGAGGAAGGTACTCAAGAGTGTTGCCATAAAACTGCATGTAGATTCTTGACCTCATTCTAATATATCTGCACTGAAATGACATGAAGTGACTTTGAGATCTGAGCTCCTGTGTGAGTCAGTTCCATCCACGACAGTCATTGAGGGGTACAGGACCAGTGAGATAGGTGGGGGGGCAAGTCCCGAACTGCACAACTATATCACCCATTGGAATACTACTCAGCAGGGAGAAAGGACAAAGTCTCAATACATAAAATTTAAAATACAGTGTACAAATTGAAGACATCCTTCTCAAAGTTTCTATAGTTTATTGTCCCATTTCTTTGACATCCTGAAAAAGATAAACTTTTGTAATGAGAACAAATCAACTGTAGCATAGATATGATTCAGGGAGAGGGAAAGTTTGTCTGCACAGTGGCAACACTGGTGAGCTTATTTTTGGAGAGGGGGAGGTGGAGGTGACAGAATTGCATTATAGGGACTGGAGCAATAGTACAGTGGCGGGGGGAGGTGTTTGCCTTGCACACAGCCAATCCGAATTTGATTCCCAGCATCCCTTATGGTCCCTTGAGCACCGCCAGGGGTAATTCCTGAGTGCAGAGCTAGAAGTAACCCCTGTGCATCGCCGGTTGTGACCCAAAAAGAAAAAAAATAATAAAAAGAATTGCATTATACATCCTGATTGTGATAGTGGTGACATAGCTATATATATATATATATATATATATGCATTAAAATACATATCATTGTGGGGCTGGAGTGATAGCACAGTAGCTAGGGCATTTGCCTTGCACATGGCTGACCTGGGTTCAATTCCCAGCATTCCATGTGGTTCCCTGAGCCCTGCCAGGAGTGATTCCTGAGTGCAAAGCCAGGAATAACCTCTGTGCATTGCCTGGTGTGACCCAAAAATCAAAACAAACAAACAAACAAACAAAAAACCCATGATTATATGGCAAGGTGAATTTTTCTATAACACTTTTCTGAAGAAAAACTTTGGATTACCTGTATAAAGGTTATGTAAAATGAGAACTTACATGCAGCTATCCTCTGCAATCTGAAAGTAGATTGCTTCTATCAGATTTTATAGAATATTTGGAGGGGAAGGGGTCTGATAACGCTGCTACCACTGACTTATAGAAGAATTATTGATCATTCCTAGGTCCCCAAAATAGCCAACCCATCACACCAAACCAGAGACAATCTGCCTGTCTCTGGCTCACATAGGAGTAAAACACTCTCACAGATAGTTTGCTCCACCGAGGATGAAGAGTCGGTTGTGAAATAGGATTTATATGTGTACAGTCTCCATTTGTTCTTAGAGTAAAACTGACTCCTAATGTGTTGCTTCTAGAAAAATCGCCACACATTTTGTCTAGTAGGGGAGCCTGGATATAAATTTTTGCCTTTGGTGATTAAAGAATATCTTCTCATGAAAATGTTAAATATATTTACTTATTTTTCTAAATTAAATTGTTGTTTATTACATTTTATCTTTTATGTGTGTTCCACTGAACTTTTGAATGATAAAGGTGATTACATGTAATTTGTTTGCCATTTGGTGGCATGTACAGTTTTTTTCTTAAGCTTTTCATACTTTTAAGAAGAATGGGGAAAAGAAAGTGTGGGCCAGGGCAGTGGTGCCCGCCTTGCCTGTGCCTGGGCCTGACCCTGGCACCTTGTGCCTCACCATGCACTTCAGGGGTTAAGCCGGGCAGCCCCTTGAGCTCCACAGGTTTTCCCCCACCAAAAAAAAAAAATTGCTTTAAAGGAAAACCATAAAAGTAGCCGAGAGATCACTCTTTCACTGTGACTTTAAAACAATAGAATTTAAAAATCTGAGCCCTTGATTTTCTCTTAATAGTTCGATTTCTTATCCTGAGTAATGGCATTTAAGACCAATTTACTTGTTAACCAAGGTATAGCTTTTCTCCCTTATTTTTCTTGATTTGTGCTTGCTTTTCTAGACACAATGAAGCATATACTTGGACAAATCCTACCTGTTGTGTACATAATATCATTGTGGGCAAACTCTGGATCGAGCAGTACGGCAATGTGGAAATCACAAACCACAAGTAAGACCCCTAGGGTTCTCACCTACCCCACCACTTGTCATCCAGGAGTTTCAGGACTTCAGTTTCACACAAGGTCTGTTAGATCCAAATGATAATTTAAGAACCAGGCAGTGTAGATGTAGCCTTGTAATTCTTGGGTGAACAGAATGTCACTTATTAGGGACATCCCACTTACAAGGGATGTTTGGGTGAACTTTTAGCTTCCCCAATCTCTGTCTTAATTCAAACTTCAGTTCGCTTTATGTCATTTAGTTTGCATTGGTCACACAGGAGGAGTTGGTGGAAGGAAGTTATAGGATTATTTCCAGTCTTATGATGTTAGACAAATATCTCAATCAATTTGGACTGACACAATAGAATACCATATAGTGGATGGCTTAAATGGCAGAAACTAGCTTTTTATCATTTTGGAGACTTGAAGTCCAAGATCATGGTGTTGAAATTTTTTTTTATCCTGTCAGGGCCCCTTTCCCGGATTGCAATCACTTTCTCATTGCATCGTCAAGGGCGAGGTTGAGGGAGAGAAAGGAGTGAGATCCACTTCTTATATCTCTAGTAAGGCTACTAATCCAGGCATGACCCAGGGACCTCCAAATTACTATCACACTGGAAAGTCCGGCTTTAAAAAGAGCTTTCGGATTGGAGCTGGAGAGATAGTGGATAGGGTACTTCCCTGCCTGTGCCTTACCCAAACATGACCTCCGGCATCCCATATGATCCCTCAAGCACTGCAAGGAGTAATTCCTGAGTACAGAGCCAGGAGTAATCCCTGAGAACCACTGGGTGTGACACCCAACCCCCCCCCCCCAACCCAAAGAAAAGATCTTTGGGGAGACACAAACATTCATTCCATAGAATAAGTGGTTTGTTCTTCATTACTCTTACTACCTTTTCTCAATGGCAGGTACAGAACTGAGTAGGGAGTCTGGGTAACTTCTGTTTGGAGGCTCTTACACATTAGGAACATTGATGGTGGGGTGGGGGGAGTGATGGTTGTCATTGTTCTCTGCTCTGCTTCCCTATAACCTGAGCTGAATATCTCCTTCATAGGACTGGAGACAAATGTGTGTTGAATTTTAAGCCATGTGGTCTTTTTGGTAAGGAATTGCACAAAGTCGAAGGCTACATTCAAGATAAGAGGTAAAGTTTCCTTTCATATTGAATTATATTAAATATGTGGTAGTCAAGCTGGGGAGATATTCAAGTCATATTGAACATGCCTAGCACCTGCAGGCCCTGAGTTTGATCCGAGAAAATACACACACACAACCACACACACACACCCTGAACTGCTGGGTACTTTCCCGCCCCTGCCTTCCCCCCCTACCCCCCCCCCCCCCCCCCCACATACACACTCCTCTGCATTGCTGAGTACATCCCTGGAGGGGCACTGAATAGTGTCAGGAGCATTGCTGGTAGATAGCAATGCCTATGAAAGCACACACATGCTGAGTGTCATAGGTTTTCCTTTACAAAATAAAGTGTAAGTATTAGAATCTGCTGCCAGAACCTAGGAAACTGGCCATCCTCTGAGCAGGAAATAGTGTCTGTGTATAGATGGATTCATAAAGATCTTTATAATGATTTTCAATCCCAGCCAGCACACTGGTTTAATTATTGGCTGAGCATCACTTTCTTTTGGCAGCAAGAAGAAGCTCTGTGCCCTTTACGGAAAGTGGACTGAATGTTTGTACAGTGTCGACCCTGCCACTTTCGATGCTTATAAAAAAAATGATAAGAAAAATACCGAAGACAAGAAGAACAGCAAACAGGTGAGCAACCCCGAATGTGGCCTGAGAGAGCCCGGGCTCTGGAGCTGGGGTCCGAGTCAGCCTGACTTCATCTCCCTGTGTCGCTGACGCGTGTCACTTTTCACCTTGTGCCTTTTCAGTGGACAGTCTGCCTTAGTGTCGAACATGCTGCATCGTCTTGCATAGGGCACGGGCGTGTCACTGTTGTAGCTGCAGCCAGACTTGGACTGGACTGCACTGGCCCAGCCTGGCACAGTTGGAGTTCATCATAGGAAGACACATGTTCTTTCCCAGAACCTGTACATTTATGTGCGTTAGAAGTTGAGATTTAAGCATTTAAGATTTCCTTAAAAAATTATCTTCAGATTTTCATCCTTAGTATTATTCCCAAAGGAAGAGTGATAATAATAATACCTAATTGCTGTGGGAGTTGAGAGGTGTAAGGCTGAGAAGAGCGTCCGTTCGCTGCAGGCCAGGAAGCCCTTTCTGCTCCTGGGACTGTCAGGAGAGCTTGTCAGCCCAGCAGAGCCAGCCCAGGCTGGGGTTCCTTGCTGAATTCTTTTTGCTTTTTTACTTTTTGGGTCACACCTGGTGATGCACAGGGGTTACCTGGATACTCCTGTCTCTGAATTCAGGAATTACTCCCGGCGGTGCTCAGGGGACCATATGGGATGCTGGGAATCGAACCCAGGTTGACTGCATGCAAGGCAAACACTTGTGCTAACGTGACAGCCCCATCCTTGCAGAATTCTTGTGGACTCCCAAATTTAAGACGCTCTTAACCTTCTAAAAAAAAAAACACGAAAGTAGTAATGATGAATGACATTCATTATAAGCCAAACTTTTTTTTTTTTTGCTTTTTGGGTCACAGCGGCAATGCACAGGGGTTACTCCTGGCTCATGCACTCAGGAATTACTCCTGACGGTGCTCAGGGGACCATATGGGATGCTGGGAATCGAACCCGGGTCGGCCTCATGCAAGGCAAACACCCTACCCGTTGTGCTGTCGCTTCAGCTCCCCAAGTTTTGTTTAAAAATCAAATCATACCATTTTTCTGTGGCTTGTTATTTGGGGACAGGGGCACCCAGGTTGACCTTGTGCAAGACAGACTCACCTCACTGGCACTCTAGCCCCTGAAATTTTTGATTGTTTTGTTTTGGGCTTGGGGCCAGACCCATCTGTGCTCAGGGCTTACTCTTGGCCTGTGCTCAGGAATCCTTCCTGGTGGGGGCTCGGATCAGCTGTGGTGCCGGGAAAGGGATCAGACCCAGGCCAGCTGATGCAAGGCAAGCGTCTCAAGCGCTGCCTGTGATATCTTTTCGTTCCTTGGGCTTTTTGAAAAAAGTTTTAGAATAACTACAAGATTTCTCTCCCACCGTGTGCACAGTCCTGCTTCCCTCCTCGTTCCCCGTGGCCCCTACTCTCTACTCCTCCATGGAGGAAGGTATACTGCTTTCACTGTGGCACTAGGGAACAGATATGGCTGGGGAAGGGGGAGCCTGGCGTCCGCACCAGCCACCCGCCCTCCTCTCAGGGGCACAGGTGAAGCCAGGAAAGGGCTCTTGGGCACAGGCTTACTTCACACTGGAGGAAAGGGAGCCTCCCCCTTAGACAGGAAGGTGCTCTCCATTCTCCTGGCTCCATCCAGCTGTGGTAGATAGCTCCTGAGCATCTTCAGGTGCCATGGAGGTCTGCCATCTGATGGCTGGCCATGGCTGCTCTTTTTAAAGACTGTCTTAAACCCATTTGATAGTAGATACTGTGAGACTGGAAACAGTACTTAATTGCCTGCCAACTTGTTTCCATACAAAACTGACGACACTACAGCCTTGTAGGGTGTAGAGAGCGAGAAAGAGAGCGCAAGTTCCAAGCTTAAGTCTGGCCTGTGGCGAGTTCATCACATTGCTTTTTCTCTCAAATGTCAAATGCACTATGGTACGAGTGGAGCTTCATGCATGTGGCGTCCCAACACCTGTGTGTCTGTGTCCCCAGGTCCCTGCCGCATTGCCTGTTGGCCAACTCCCTTCTGAGGCTGCTGCTCAGGGCCTGTCGCTATTGTCCATTTTATTCCCTTCCTACTTATCTCTTTCTGCTACATAGGAAAGAGATCACTCTGGGGGTGGCCCTCTTCCTCGGACTGGTTTCAAGGCCAGCTCTCAGGTGTGTGGAGAGCTGATCTCCCACTTAAGGAACTAGATATCTGAAGTGGAACAAGAAAAGCCTCTTCACATGATTTTGGGAAGACTGGCTATACACATGCAAAAATTGGAATTTACATCATCCTTATCTCACACCAGACTTAAAAGCTAATTCAAAGTGCATCAAAGACCTTCATCCTGACAATTTTCTTCCTTCCTTCCTTCCTTCCTTCCTTCCTTCCTTCCTTCCTCCCTCCCTCCCTCCCTCCCTCCCTCCCTCCCTCCCTCCCTTTCTTTCTTTCTTTCTTTCTTTCTTTCTTTCTTTCTTTCTTTCTTTATTGTTCTTTCTTTCAGCAAATTGGAGAGAAAAATTTCAGGATTCCTGGTTTGGGCCACTGACAGATTTAGTTAACAGCCCTAAAAAATTGATCTTCTTTATTCTCCTAAGGCTCTAATAAATATTCAGATGAGTTTTTGTTGCAGAGAGAAGGTTTAATAAAATACTTTTAGTAAAGGTGACGATGACGATGCTTATATGCAACTAATACTGTATGTTGTGACACAGAAAGAGACTCATTCATGAGACTCATAAAACTCATTCAGTCGTTCAGTCAGTTTTTTTTGACTCACAACACTGTACAGATCAAAGAATGAGAAACTCCCGGTGCCTGGCTTTTGTGCAGTTTATTCCTGGTGGTGTGTAAGTAATGGCAGCATTTTACAGTTCTAAAGCTGTTCTACAGACTCTTCCCTTTTTATTCATCTGTTGGTTCTTTCAGGTGAGCAGTTCTGAGGAGTCAGATGAAATGCCAATGCCCGATTCGGAAAGTGTATTTGTTATTCCTGGAAGTGTTCTCCTATGGCGAATAGCCCCACGGCCTCCAAATTCTGCGCAGGTGAGACAAGGCTTGCTGAGAGGGAACTCCCAGCTTGATTGGTTGCTTGGTTTTGTTTGGGGGCCACCTCTAGTGGTGCTCAGATGCAAGAATGTTCATATTCAGCTTTGGGGGTGCTCTTTTCCCAGCACAGGCAAGGCGAGCCAGCTGAGGAGAGGTGGGGAATTGCCACTAGCGAGCAGGTGGTCCCGTTTTTGGTCTCTTCGTGTCTGCTTTCTTTCTCACCCTGACACCCAGGCTTACCGCAGCCCATCCCAGCCATCAGTTGCTGGGCAGAGATGAGAACATGGGGCTTGGCGGGTAGAGGTGGCGCCCTTTTAATAATTACTTTTGGGAAAGACTGACTCGTGAAATATAAGATGATTCAACCTGTTTTGTTTAAGCCCTCTAGATTCAGCAAGTAATGATTTTAATTAAGAAAAAAAATGTTGATTTTGCCTATAGCTCAGTGATAGGGTATTCAGTGGGACCTGCTTCAGAATTTCTTGAACACATGCATGAAATTCAGTGAAATATTTAGATGTGTGACTTCAGGGAGACTGCTTACTCAAAAGAGTTGGGGCGGGATTGTCACACGTATTCTGAGGTCATTGGTTCATATTTTGCATTTGGGTTCGACCTGGGTTAATTTGAACATTTTGCTTCCTTCCAGATGTATAATTTTACTAGCTTTGCAATGGTTTTGAATGAAGTAGACAAGGAAATGGAAAGTGTGATTCCTAAAACAGACTGCAGGTTACGGCCTGACATAAGAGCCATGGAAAATGGAGAAATAGGTAACTAACATCTGAGGGTATTACCAGTGATGATTCTTTTTTGGGGGGAGGATGGTTACTTGTTTTTCAGTGATATTTTCTGACAAATATACTACCTATAGCCACAAGTGGATCTTAACTATCAGAAGGAAATTGGAGAAAATGATAGCATATTTATAAAGTATAAACTGCCTTGTTTTTTACTGTAGACTTCAGGATTTATTAGCACCCAGATAGTGACCTCAAAAAGGCCTTGACCTCCTCAGTTTTTTGTGACATTTTAATGCTATGATAATACATTTTTTATAATTCAGGAGTTCTCCAAAGGGAGGAAATGCATTGTTCTGTCCCTTAAAATGAATCAGGCGATTCCTGTGGCCATGTTTGGAGACCGGCGGTCACCTCTAGGGCACTGAAACTGGCATATAGCAGGCAGCAGCTAATGTCCTGTTCACTGTTGAGGTCACCTGCAAGGTCAGTAAGCATAACTGTGCTGCAAAAACAGGAGTTCAGGGGGCTGGAGAGATAGTTCAGTAGGTATGGTGTTTGCCTTGCACTTGACCGACCTAGGTTCAGTCCCCGACATTCCATATGGTTCCCTGAGCACTGCCAGAAGGAATTCCTGATTGCAGAGCCAGGAGTAACCCTGAGCATCACCGGGTGTGGCCCCCAAATACAAAAGAACACTTGTTCAGACTACTTTGATATTGACTTAGAATTAAGAGGGTAATAATTCAATGCAAGAGTATTTGGAAAATAGAACCTTAAGGGACTGAGTCTAAAAACTTAGGATTTATTTTTCCTTTTTTTATTTCCACCCAATTTGTTATTGGGGTGGTCTTGTCCCTTCCCTGTCTGTTGTTGCCACTGTCCACTGTCTGTGGCCACACCTGGCTGTGTTGTTTACACACTGGAGTGCCTATAGGGAGGGCTGCTGTTTGCTCCTGTCCCACTCGAACTCGACCTCCTACATGAAGGAGGTCCACCACCAAGCCCCATGCTGGCCCTGTGGAACAATTTAACATACAATTTGTTTTGTCTTTTAAATTTTGGAAAACAAACCTAGGGAAAGATTAGGAAGCATTTGCCCCCAACTGGCAAGCCATACCCCAACCCTAACAAATTGTTTATGCTCTTAAGAATGAGTGAATTCTTGGGCTGGAGTGATACTACAGTATTACAGGATAGAGTGCCTGCCTTGAATGTGGCCGACACGGGTTCAGTCCCCAGCACCACATATTGTCCCTGAAGCCCCACTATGAGTAGTTCTTGAGTGTAGAGTCAGGAATAAACCCTGAGCACCACCAGGTGTGGCCCCAAACAAACAAATAAGACAGACATGAAAAGAATAAGCGAGTCCTTTTCAGTATTAATTGGGCATAGACTGTAGGAAGAGAAAATGAAGCTGTGATGCTAGCTGTGCCTCTGTTTACCCGAGGTGTTGATGGTCTAACAGTGCACAGTTGTGCTGTTTGTCCTCTCTTAAAATGGAGCACCAGCTTATGGGGATGGCCACGTATCTTCCTGAACTTCCCGTGCTAGCCTCCTCTTAGAGTGACTTGTCATTGATGTTCTTATTTCAGATCAAGCTAGTGAAGAAAAAAAGCGGCTCGAGGAGAAACAGAGAGCAGCTCGCAAAAACAGGTCCAAGTCAGAAGAAGACTGGAAGACCAGGTGCGGGCCAGGCTGTGGTGGGGGGTCAGATGCGGGGACGGTAGCTGGGAGAGGTTCTCTCTGCCAAGGGTACATGCATGCGTAAGGAGCCCCGGTGGGCCAAGCAGAAATGAGCGTTGGAAACTGAGTTAAATATTCCCACATAGTTATCACAGGTAAATGTCCAGCAAATTACCTTTCCTCTTCATTCACCAAAGCCCTGTTACTTCTATGTTGAAAGAAGAGATAAAATCTAGAGCTACACATTTTGGGATGAGAGGGTTCAGAGCCATTTGCTTCTGTGTGGCCAGTACAGGGCCATTGGTTTTTTTTTTTTCATTTTTTTCATTTTTTAATTTTTTTATAATTTATTTCTTTATTGAATCACTGTGGGAAAAGTTACAGAGCTTTCGGGTTTAGGTCTCAGTCATGTAAATATCAAACACATTTCCCTTTACCAATACTTATTTTTAACCACAAACCCCAATAGAACCCCACCTCCCACCCCTCCCAATTCCTGTGAGGCAGATGAGTTCTAGTTAATACTCTATCTACTTTGACTAGATACATTGTTTCGATAGAAGATGCACAATTATTGTTTAGAGTTTACGACCCCTCTCCCCCATCAGACATGCTAAAACAGCGTTGTGAAATGATTTGCTTTCTACAGCTGGGTTTAAGAATAAAATGAAGTCATTGTGGCTGCGCGGTTTTGGATTTCTGCTACTTTACTTATTAACCCTGGAAATATTTCTATTAAAAGTTAGATAGTTAAGAGATTGGTTTCTGTGCTCTGGAGTCGTGGCCGTGCCGGAGAGCCGCTCGTGGGGGGCAGCTGGTGACCTTGGTCGGGCGTGAAGGACGGCCCAGAACGCGCCCCTTCCCATGAGGTCCCTGCCGCTCCCACCCCTGGCTCAAACCTGCTGTCCACAAGGCTCGGTTTTATATATATATGAAATATTTTTTTTTCCTCCCATTGATCGTCGATTTGCTCGAGTGGGCCCAGTAACGTCTCCATTGGAGACTTTGTTGTTACTGTGTCTGGCATATGGAATACTCTCGGTAGCTTGCCGGGCTCTCCGAGAGGGTCGGAGGAATCGCCATGTTGGCCAGGTGTAAGGCGAACGCCCTACCGCTGTGCTATCGTTCCAGTCCATATGAAATATATATATTTTAAATATATAAATGTATATAGAGAGACATATTATAGAATACTTAAAACTTTGCTCTTTTACAAATACAAGGAATTTGACATAATAGAAAAAAATTTGTATTAGGTGAACATCTTCAATTCCATTTAGAAATAGTAGGCAATATAGTTACTGAAAAAGTTTATTATTTTGAGAATCTGGGGATAGTTAGTAGTCACTTTTGTTGAGTAGCAGAATCTCTTACAGAAATAAAAGCATTGTCTACATCAGTACTCCATAATTGAACCTGTTGTCTCATAATTCAAAATTTTTACAAAGGTCTTAGAGCAATATGTGCATTGGGAGCATTTCAGAAATGGAGATGTTATTTGGCAGCCCTTTTGTATCTTAGAGAAGTCTCAGTGTTAGTAGTGGTTTGGGGCTTTGGTAGTATAAACTTATTGTGTACTTTTGCCATTGAGCACATAATGAACACCCAGAGCAATGGCGCCATGGGGAGAGAGGACAGAGTTTGGGCCTCTTACTCCTGTACATACCCTGGATCCTGTGAAGTCTAGATGATCCCATCTACAACCAGCTGCTCTGTGAATCCTGTGTTGTCGGGGGAAAGTGCTGGTGTGTCACTGAGAGGACTTGCTCCAGACCAGAGCTTCCTAAGACTCAGACCTCGGGGTCTGCACCCCTGCCGTCAGTCACTAATCCTTCGTGGAATTAGCTACAGCAAAAACGTTTTATTTATTTTTTTACTTCTACTCATCTTTTTAGAAAAGTTTACTTTTCTACTTTATTTCTAACAACCAGCCCATTTATTTTTCTCATTACTTTATCAAGTATATTATATAAGCCAAAAAAGAAATTCTGAGATAGCTTTTGTATTCAGCTAGCAAAGAATTATAAACAGCTCTTACTGGGTGCTAAAATAAAAATTAGAAGCCATATTTGTGAGGTATAATTTAGAGTTCTCTTCCATTGCTGTCTCTGTGTCAGTATTTCTAATTTGAATAGACAGGTCATTTGGATGGTCCCACTGTCAAAAGAATTTGGGCATCCAGTGGTTATAAGAAGATTGCCACTCACTGACTCAGTTTTTCTGAATAACTTGGTTCAGTCAACTAGTCAGAGAAAGGAAATATTTTTTCTTTTTACTGGGTAGAGCTACCGGCCATCTCAGAAACAGGAGAGAAACTATAATTTGGCCCAAGTTCCTCTACTTTCATTTTTCAATCCCATAAACTCATATCTGCACTCCCCACCACCAAGTATCTCTAAATTACTTTCAATAAAAACTATTTTGCTTCCAAAAATTAAAATTAAATGTGGTTTCATGATTATGAAAATGACTATTTGTGATCTTGACCTATTTTTTTGGAGGAAAGTAGAGACACTTTACTAAATGGGATATGGAGAGACAATGGAGACACTAATAAGGATTTGAAGAGGGAGAGAGGCAGATGAGGAGAAAAAAATTGCTGCAGTTCTTCCCCACCACAATGATTGCTGTTGAAGAGTCAGTATTTTAGTGCATCCGCGTTACTGATTACAGATCCAGGAGCTCTGTAGACTCGAAAAGATTGAAAAGTAGCAAAGAAATCTGGCCCAAGCTTTTCTAAAATGAGACTTTAGAAGATATTAAATAACTTTGTCACGTGTGGAGGTATAATAGCAGCAGAGCTTCAAAATTAGGAGAATCTTAAGCTGAAAGAAACTCTTTGGCACCAGACTTTCATCTCTGTGGTACTCATCTTTACCACAGTGTTTGAACTCTCCATAAGAGCATAGGATGCTTCCTGCATCAGCAGCCTATAGACATGGTGTATGTTGCGTACATATGAGCAAAATAACAACCATCGCTGTTACAGCCAACTTTGTGAACTCTCCAAGTCTGATTCCCCACACCCCCCTGTTTAATATGGGAGAAATTGTATGGCACAAAGCCAGAGGTGTGTTAACTTTTTAAATAATTCGTTACCTTGATTTTGATTTGCCGGCTTTTCTAAAATACTTGATTTCGCGAGGCTGGTCACAAAGTAATCTCACGATTACTGGAGCATTTGAACCCCGATGGAATAGAAGACAAAAATTCTGTGATTTTCATTGAAAGTAAAGGTTCCTTAATATTCTGCTTTACTTGCCAAAGTCTGAAGAATACATCTTGTGACTCAAGTGTTAGAGCACAGGGCTTCCTGAGGCGAGGCTCTGAGTGGGTGAGGCACTCTGGGTACCAGTAGTAGAGTACCACCCAGGGTGGGCCCAGGCCTCAAGAACCATACCGCTCATGCCTCCTGCCTCCCCAGAATTATGTCCATTCTCTAGCATTCAACAGGGCTTTGTTTGGTAGGCATTTCCTTAACCTTAGGCTGCGTATTAATATAGGTTGTAAAAGTTCATTACCTTATCCAGAGCAAGGCCTAGTTCTAGTAAAATCTATGGGATGGTGAGTTGGACAAATATATGTTGTTTCTAAGACAACTAGGTAGAGGGTACTGCTTAGTGTCCATGTAAGTGTACGTGCTAATGCTGTGGAAATCCACAAGGTTTGGGGGTGATGTCATTTTCCAGAGTCTCTTTGGAAAGTCTTAATGCAGAGAATGAAGTGAATTGCTCTGATAAGGAAAGACTTGTGAGTGTAGCAGATTCCTGCAGTTCTGACACTTGTAAATCTTGACCTTTCTCTTAACAGGTGGTTCCATCAAGGCCCTAATCCCTACAATGGAGCACAAGATTGGCTTTATTCGGGCAGCTACTGGGACAGAAACTACTTCAATTTGCCTGACATTTATTAAAATGCAGACAAGTCAGAGTGTTTGGCTACAATTAAGTCTTAAACCTGTTTTTAGATTTCCCCCCTCTTGATTTCTACTCGTCTTTAAAACAAACAAACAAAAAAACTTCTGCGATAACTTGCATTTCACCCAACAAAAAATTAGGGCCTACAATGGTACTGGTGATAAAAGTTAGAAAAAAAATGTTGTTTTACTACCCAAATAAATTTGTTCCAAATAAAGTCTTATTTGGAATACTGTTTTATATAGGGGGAAGATAAACTGCTGGAGAATATGCTCTCCTGATTGCAATTGCCATAATTACTGAAGGTTTATACCTAAATACAACTACCTAAATACAACATTAGCATTATGGAATTATATAGTGGTCCAAAATCAATTAATTTTAAATATTTTTATGCTGACATGCTTGAATGTTTTAGATGTAACTTTGGAATGTTTAGAATTGTTTGCGCTCAAATGTAGAGAAAGAGGGCATTTTGTGAAGACTTACATTAATAAGATGTTCTTCATACTAATTGTCTCAAAGTTACTACTTCCCACTCCCAAAAGAGAACAAGTCTTCAGAATAGATATAACTGATTTGAAAATTCTGAATAAACTGGAAAAGGTATTTTATTTGCTTATTTTACTGCTTTGAATTAGTTTGGTGTAATCAATGTGATTAGAATTAAAAGGTGTTCAAATTGTATGTTTAAGAATATGTATAAAATCTAGCAATTTACAGAAAGCACCCTAGAAAATAGATTTTTAATTGTTATATAATGACCTCTTTATAAATGCTTCAACTTCCAGTGACAAGTACCACAGAGAAATTAAGATACATTCATATATATGTATTATAAGTATCAAGCTATATAAAAGGAGATCTTGTGCATTTGAAGTTTGTGAGGCACCTGTGTACTTAAAATATGTATGGAGATCTACTGTACAGTAGTAGCTTTGCCCCTTTAATTGGGGTACTTTAATCCTATGGTATTTATCCTCTCATTGCCAGACAGATATTTGCTCCTTAGGGTAGTTGCCAGTAAATTTTGTCTTGAAGTTAACAAGTGTTAAAATTTAATCTGATGCTAAATAAAGGCTATAGCTTACTCTCCTGAAGTGTGATTTCTTTTAGACTGTACTGTTATACTACTCAAATATCAAGAATGCCCTTACCAAAAAATAAAAATAAAAAATCAAGTGCCATAGTTCTTAAGAACTAACCATACTACATTGGCAGTTAACACTTAGTATTTGCTGGGGTACGATAGCAAGGTACTATTAGAGCTGGCGGCATGAATGTCAAATAAGGAATTATTGAGTTGGAATTTCTGAGCAGGAAACTTATGATTGGAATCATAGGACTATACTGTGGTGTGATAGATCAAAAATATTTAAGGTCTTATGTGTTCTATTTCCTAATTACAAAATAAGAATACCAACTCTGATGCTTGCATGCAGTTTATTGGTGCAGTGCACTTGGTGGCAGACTCCACCTTGCACACTTACTCAGCAGCTTCACTTTCTGCATCTGTTAAGAATAATGTAAATGGTGAATAGTGAACTGTTGCAGCAAGTTTTACCCTCCTGCTCTATCTTTGACAATTCCACTAAAAGTATACAAAAGGGATGAATCAGTTGAACATATACCTTTCTTTTGATAAATTGTTCCTCTATAGTAACTTCTACTTAAATCTGTCCATCGTTTTTCACTTAAATAAGTATTGGTATGTACGTTTAACAAACAGTATGTACTGAGTCTGTTAGTCAGATTATTTAGCAAGTAGCTTTCACATTCCCTTCAACCAATCTTGTGTGACTTTCATGCAGTATCATAGGTCTCTCTTTTTTATGTCTAAATCAAATATGAGGCGGCCTAAATCAGTAATTTATAGTTTGATCATAACATCACACTAAGTTGTGGCTTCTGTGTAATACATGTGTATGCACATGTTGGGGGAAAATAAAGGGACTTGCATGAAGTACTGGGTGAATTTTTTTTTAAGTACAATGCTTTTTAGTGATAAAACTGCCGCTCACTTTGACTTCAATCTGTATTCAACTGTCAGTATTCATTTTTGACTGCATTGCTTGGATGCTCCATATATAATCTCATGTCTCTTTCCCTCTTTATCATTTTCCCAATAAGATTATTCTCATCAGTTCCCATTTAGACATAGAACCAGATATGAAAAGGAGACCAAGTTCACCAATCAGGTCCTTAGTGTTCTCATGGTGTAGCACTTGTTAGTGATTGGTTGTGAGGAAGTTGGAGAAAATAACCACATCAAATTAGATTATACTCCAACTCATTGCATATCTCAATTTAATTTTTTAAAATATCTCAATTTCCAGGTGAACAAATCAAAATGTGGAAAACTCAGGTTAGGACCCACGTACTGTGGCAGGCAGCTTTACCTACCAGTTTTTAACTTTCTGTTCTGCGAACATGGGCAGTAGTTACAGTAATTTCTCCAGCAATACCGTAACTTCCAAAGGGGGCAGGTTTTTCCCCAGATCCTGTACCTTTTTGGGAAACCTTTTTTGCTACATCTTCTACTGGGAAAGCAACAGAAAGAAAAACTGGACTTTGTGGTCTGGGGCCCTCTTGCCTGCCTGTAGGCGGACTGGCATTCTGGGGAGTAGGGACATGTTTCTGGAATTTATGTTCTGCAGGGACAGCAATGGGCACTGGTACTGCAGCATATCTCTTCAAGGCTTCCGACTGTGGAACAGGATGTCCAGGAAGCGTTTTCCAATCCTGAGCTTCCTGAACATTGGAGCCTACTAAAATAAAAGGTGGGGCATTGGTCTTCTTGTTGTCGTCCATCATCACATAGGTTGGAGAAGTAACTTTCGGTGGATGCTGCAGAAACTGTGGTTCCTTAGGATTAGATAAATAGAGGGTTGCTTGGGGAAAAGGCCCAGGTGCAGGTGGCGGTGACGGGCGACTTTGTTGATTCATATCAGTTAGACAATAAAGGGTCCACATGTTAGAATATGGTGGTGGTTGTCCTGCTTCACTTGCTGCTATTGCTAAAAAAAAAAAAAAATTTGCAGGCATTAAAGGTTTGGTCTCTGTATCAGGCGCTATGCACAGAAATGTCTTTATAAAAAATGGATACATACAAAACAACAGTAGTAATATGTGCAATAAAGCATGCTATAGAGAGGGCTAATTAAATTATGTTTGGTAATGTGAAAGAAGACTCTACAGTTGGAAAATGAGGACAATATTGTGTTAGCAGGTGGCTGAGGAAGCAACCACATTCTAAGCAACTGTTTCCAGGTACTCAAATTTAGATAGAGCTTCTGCGGGGAGGAAATGGAGATTCAGCAATACTCTTGTTTCAATCAGCTGAAGTGTATTATATTAAGCCACTGGGGAAAAAAGTTAATGCATCTGCACAGTGATATATTTTTCTTTACTGAAAAAAGTCAACACAAGGCATCTTTTGATCACAGAATCAAATATTCCTGGCCTTTCATGGGCACCATTATCTCCCTCTAATTTGTGCTGTATGCAAAGCATCAGATCCCATTTAAGACTCAGAATCCCAGGGTGCACCCCTTTTAGGCAAGGCTTGGAGTCAGTTCCCAAGAATTATTATGGCAAGGTTGACTTCCCATTTAAGAGAGAACCAAGTTCTCTCTTACAAGAAAATGGGATTGTGGAGTAAATTTCCTGATGGAGGTGCTGCAATTTGCCGGGATGTGCTGAACTTTTTGAACACTACCAGCTGACTCTAGTGCAAGTTTTTTTCTTTCCCCCTGAAGAAAACATTATGCATGTGATTAAGTGGCAGTGCTTTCGGTAGCTTCTGACTCTCAGTTGATCTTTTATAAAAACTATGTGCAAGCCTAATCTTTGCTTTTTACTCTTTGTCATTGAAGTTTTAACAGTATCTAAAACATCAAGTACTTAAAAACAGAAATCTGATTTGGAAGTGCTAGTTAAGCCGCAAGTATGATGCCAGTCCAGTTTCCAATACTGCCCCTTCAGGCTGTGCAGATTCTCAATCACATTGCCAGACAGAATTTGATCTCTAAAAAATACCTGCTTTGGTAACATTTCCCTATCATTCAACTAAGCACTGAGAGTTTCTGCAAAAGGAATGGGGGAGGTTTGGCTCATGCACATGCCATTTGTCCCTAAAGAAAGGACAGCTGAACCTGGTTATATGGGGCAGAAGGAGTAGCCCTTCACTAGATCGAGATGGAGATCAGATCCTGTTTCACAGGACTAAAACATAGATGATAGCAGCCAAGAAAGCAAGTAGCTTGCTCTGGGCACTTGGCAGAGGAAGGGATGAAAGAAGCCAGTCATCTCAGAACAATGTGTCCTTTGTTCTTGAAGTGCCTGTCTGTCCTTTCTGCTGCTATCTCCTTGCGGCCTGTGCAACAGAACTTCCATCTGACTTCTCTCTGCTTTGGGGCTGCTGTCAACTGCAGTAAGCTCCCCAGCAGGAGATGATGCTTGATCCAATTCCCCAAACCTGGTTGCAGAGCTCTCCTGCGTGTGAAAGCAGTCAACACACCACCATTTATTTAACTTTTAAATGCCATAGCCTATAGAAATGCATTGTTGTTGTTTGGTTTTTTGTTCATAGTTGAGAATTTTTGTTCATATGCTTTTTAATGTTTTAAGTATGCTTTGTAGCTAACAGTTTTGGTGATATAATTTGAAAACCATTCATCTCCTAAGAATAAAATACAACAAAGCCATTAAGTAAGTTTGACATTTGAAATAACCTCTAAAAGTATAGACATTTGACCACTCTGGGGAACCAACCTATGTGTTTACCTGAAATTGATGTCACCTGAAATAAAATCTTTTATTTGTAAATACAACTTTCTTACCTGGCTTGACCAAACCTTCCCCAGGTGCTTCCTCCTCTTCTGGTTCTGTAGGACCTTCTGCTCCAGTAAGGTCTTCCAGTTCTGCAGGACCTTCTGCTTCAGTAAGGTCTTCCGGTTCTGCAGGACCTTCTGCTTCAGCAATGTCTTCCGGTTCTGCAGGACCTTCTGTTTCAGTCAGGTCTTCCGGTTCTGCAGGACCTTCTGCTTCAGTCAGGTCTTCCGGTTCTGCAGGACCTTCTGCTTCAGTCAGGTCTTCCGGTTCTGCAGGACCTTCTGCTTCAGTCAGGTCTTCCGGTTCTGCAGGACCTTCTGCTTCAGTCAGGTCTTCCGGTTCTGCAGGACCTTCTGCTTCAGTCAGGTCTTCCGGTTCTGCAGGACCTTCTGCTTCAGTCAGGTCTTCCGGTTCTGCAGGACCTTCTGCTTCAGTCAGGTCTTCCGGTTCTGCAGGACCTTCTGCTTCAGTCAGGTCTTCCGGTTCTGCAGGACCTTCTGCTTCAGTCAGGTCTTCCGGTTCTGCAGGACCTTCTGCTTCAGTCAGGTCTTCCGGTTCTGCAGGACCTTCTGCTTCAGTCAGGTCTTCCGGTTCTGCAGGACCTTCTGCTTCAGTCAGGCCTTCTGGTTCTGAAGGACCTTCTGCTTCAGTAAGGTCTTCTGGTTCTGCAGAACCTTCTGCTTCAGAAAGGCCTGGTTCTGCAGAACCTTCTGTTTCAGAAAGGCCTGGTTCTGCAGGACCTTCTGCTTCAGTAAGGCCTTCTGATTCTGCAGGACCTTTTGCTTCAGTACTATCTGCTGCAGTAAGATCTTCTGGAGCAGAAGGTAAGGGGGCAACAGATGATCTTACAGATTCACCTGAGTCAGTTGGCTCTGCAGCTTCCTCCTGCTCAGACGTGCTATCGCTCGTCTCAGTGGTATTCATTTCAGGGTGCAAAGACTTTTCAGAAACTACTTGGTCTGCATCTGGGGATACCTTTTTAAGCACTGAGGAATCTGCAGACTCTACCTCTGGTGGTGACTGCTCATTTTCAGAACTATGTTCTGAAATTTGCTCAACAAGAGTAACTCCTTCTATCACAGGCATACCATTATAGATAGATTGTATGAGGAGAGTTGTATTTGCCTGGGAAGGAGACTCAGGAGCTTGATCAGCAGCAGGAGGTTCTTGTTCATCCTGCAAGGGGCATGATAATGGTTCATTCTCATCGTCTTTAGAGTTAGAACCCAAATCTATTTCAACAGATACTCGGTCCACACCCTCATTAGTTACCTCTGCAGAATATTTTATAGACACCCTTTCATCCTCAGAATCGTTCTTGAAAATGGTAGACATACTTGTTGCCACATCCACCATTAAAACGTCAGATTCACTAGAATTAATAGGTGAAGTTTTACCTAGCATCTGTGCAGCAAACTGAGCTGGATCCGCAGGCACATAAGCCAATTCTGGAGATGGTGATGTAGGTGGGGTGGAACTCTTAGGGGTGGCTGGTTTTGAAGGACCACAAGTTGCTTCAGTTTTCTCCTCATCTTGGAGTGGAACATGAAATGATGGGAACTGAGTAGTTTTGTTGTTAGGTGATGTTGCACACATATTGTCCTCTGCTGTGTCCGTAGATTTTTCCATCCGTTTAGGTTCTTCACAAATTAAAGGTGCTCGTTCTGACTCTTTAACACTTTCTGTTTTCTTCTCTTGTGTCGCTCCTTCTGACCATTTCTCTACTAAAATAGTCATAAAAGTTAATATATTATTTGTCTAAAGAATTTTTAAGAAAATAGCAAAAGAACAAGCATACACATGTCAAAATACAGATTTTTGAGTTTTGTTGGAGTCATGACCCATAAGCCCATCTCAAGTTGAAAACATTGTTAAATAAACAAAACCATGAATTGGGAGATAGCTGCCAAAGGCCAGAATTAGCCACAGAATATGATACTGCAGTTTCTACTAAGTGCAGATCATTTTCAGACCATCTTAAAAAGTCAAAAATTCTGTAGACCAAGAAGGTAGTACAGAAGCTATTTGCATTGTATTTGAACACTTCAACTACAACCCTGGTTCCATCTCTGGTATTGTATATGGCTCACTGAACACCACTGGAGACAAAAAAATCAAAAGCTTCTAAATCAAACTATCGTAAGTTGAAGATGTATATACATACATTGCTTTACTTTCTGTGATTCAGTATGAGTAGAGCGTTTGCCTAGCATGTGGCCAGATTCACTAGAATTAATGGATTCGATTCCTTTGCCCCTCTTGGGAGAGCCCGGCAAGCTACCGAGAGTACCCACCCACATGGCAAAGCCTGGCAAGCTACCAGTGATGTATTCGATATGCGAAAAAATACAAGTCTCACAATGGATATGTTACTGGTTCCCGCACAAGCAAATCGGTGAACAACGGGAGGACAGTGCTACAGTGCTACAATGTTATTTAAAATTCTGAAGAATGAGATTTCTTGTAAAATAGCATTGTGTCTCCTACCTTATAAGTTGTTTTAAATGACCAAAAATATTCTAAATTGCCTAGCACCAAATATGTACTCCATGAATTTTATCCCCTTCTTCCTACTTTTCCTCACATAATTGATGGACCTAAAAACTTTGGACTTAAAGTATCATCAACTTTCTAATCTCTCTTCAGTGATTCATTTGGATTAATGAAGAAACTTTCTTAAGACGAAGAAATGAGGGCATTTTTATTGATTCATATGATTGTAAGATATTTAATCAAAAATGGAAATACCAAGAGTTTTATAGCATGAACTGCTTTGGAAATGGGCATACATGTTTGAAAAACCTGCGAGAGGCAGCCCTGAGGGGATGGAGCAATAGCACAGTGGGTAGGGTGTTTGTGTTGCACGCGGCTGACCTGGGTTCGATTCCCAGCATCCCATGTGGTCCCCTGAGCGCCGCCAGGGGTAATTCCTGAGTGCAGAGCCAGGAGTAACCCCTGTGCATTGCTGAATCTAAACCAAAAAGCAGAGAGAGAGAGAGAGAGAGAGAGAGAGAGAGAGAGAGAGAGAGAGAGAGAGAGAGAGAGAGAGAGAGATCAGGCTTCGAGAGCTGTAAGTGCCAGAAAATAGGGAAATATGAGATGACAGAAATCAGAGAAAAGTGTGCTCCCAGATCTTATTCTTCCTACCCATCTTCCATCAGCCAAGTGAATGAAGTATTTTTTGTGCTGACAATCAAACCCGGAGCCTCACAGATGCAATGCTTATGTCTACCACTTAACTGTGTCCTCATCCCCTTCTGCAAAAGAAGTCAAACTTCATTGGAGATGGGTAAATGCTATTGGTCCTATTCTAGCACCTACCAAATATGAGGCTCCTTCTAGAAAAATAAATCCCAGAATGAAATGTTTAAAAAGACAAGGCTGAATAGGAGTGCCACTTATTTCCCTGCTTCCTAAGTATTGCTGCTGGCAGTGAGCTAATGAGCTGGAGGAAGCCAGTTCAGGCTCTTCCTGAGACTCCAAGAAAGGCTAGAGAAGGAGCTAACAGTAGACACTGGACTCAGTGACAATTTGAGATCTCATTTGCCACTTTGATGAAACCACTGCCATCTACACTGCGTAGTGAAGAGATCAGAATTGACATAATCTGGGCTTCCGGTTCTGGCAGTGAACTAATGAGCTGGGAGAGAAGACAGCAGTCCCAGTGAACATTCTTAGGAAACACGCCTTTCATGTACATATCTACTATCTTGGAGATGAGGATGAACAATGAACTAGAGATAAAAAATTGTTTTTGCCCATTCCACCACATTTTAATACCTGGTGCTGTCTTCAGGCTGTTTTAGTCTCCTGCTAACGAAACTGAAAGATCAGAATAAGAAGTAGCTGATACAGGCTCAGCAATGTTTTGTAAATTCCTCTTATTTAAGTCATTGAAACCCTGGAAGAATCTCAATCCTGGGAATCAGTAGCACGTAGGGTATTATTGGTGCCACCATTCATGTACAAAACAGGAATCCACATCAGGAAAGTTCTCTTTAAAGGAAAGAGAAGATGGTACCTGTTGTATGTACATTTTTATTATAGATAACTGAACAATCATGCCAACAAATTTACCCAGAGTTCCCACAGGAAACAGCAGTTGGGGAATTAAACCAGTCAGAAAGGGAGAGGATGTCACTAGGGGAGGAAACGCCTACCAAGTGGGAACCTTCATTTCTGTGTATCCCCAGATAGCCTCTCTCTGGCCCAGAGTGATGCTTTCCTGAATACAGTAGATTTATATAGTCATTGTCATTGTGATAGAATGGAATCCAATGGATACTGATTGTTTATTCAGGGAAAGAGAAAAAAACATTTTGGGATGCCAATAAAAGGCAGACGGATAAGCCAAACTCTTTATTAGTAATGTTTAATGCTGTATGTCTGGTCACATCTTTTTGTTTCCTTCCCCTCACCCTTGTAAAATAGAAGAAGCTAGTTTGTTAAAGACTGCTAATTTGTATTCTGTTACCCAAAGAACCTTCTCTTTCTACTCCAGTCAGGCTATGAATTTACTTTCAGGATGGTCTCTATAAGCTTTGTCTGTTTCCTTGATATAATTACCCCTACCTGCTCCAGTAAGAACTGAACTTTTTGTCGGGGGAGGAGGCAAGCTTGGGGAACCATATATTGTGCTGGGGATCAAACCTAGATCAGCTACATGCAAGGCAAGTGCTCTACCTGCTGTACTATCTCTCTGGCCCCAAACTGAAAATTTGAGATTCAAAATGTTAACCTAGCTGGACCAAAATCCATTTTAGTCCACTTGCGAGTGAAATGCTAGGCAATTCTTCAGTAAAATAACCTCAAAGGCTGCTAGTCAGTTATCTTCTTGGATAGAGACTCACTGAATTTATCACCAATTTCAAATTTTGCAAGTTAGTACATCACTCTGCAAGACCCTCAAACAGACCCCTGCTAGAGAAGACAAAGCACACAAGCCATAACAACTTATTCTGTGGGGGCTGGGGTGGGGCGAGTGAGAAAGGGAGGGAGGTAGGTAGAAAGCGGGGAGGCGGGAGGGAAACCCTGCAGGGAAGCACTCAATTACTTCTGATGGGAACCATAATGGGGAGGGCATTTGCCTTACACAAGGCCAACCCAAGTGTGATCCTTGGCTTCCCATATGGTCCCCGGAGCACCACAAGTGCAGAACCAGTAGTAATCCTGAGCACTGTCGGGTATGCACCCCCCAAAAAATATCCCCCCAAATTACTCTTGAAATTCAACAGTGACTTTCTTATCTGTTCAAATGCTGACTCTGCTCTGTTAATCTTGCTTTCTTTGGGGTCTTTTGCGTGATATGCCTATACTCTCATCCTAGGTTACTCCTGGTTTCTCCATCTTTTGGTTATGAAGCAGTGTTAAAAATGGCTGAAATCTCAGCAGGCCCCCTCCACGTCTCTGCTGGCATTTCCAACACCTCTGTCCCCGTCCCTGGGGCTGACCTCCCAGCTCATGCCAGGGCACTGCTCTCCTTCGCAGTGAATCCCAGCAGCCTGCATACTTTAGTTATGTCCTGTGCTTATGACTGCCTTTACAAGAATAAGAAAGATCTGTATATTCCTAGCTTGCTAAGGCATATTTTTATTTTGCTTGCTTTTTTAATATTTGTTTTATTTAAATTGTATATTCTATTGTCTAGGTGATTTTATTTGCACCTATAGATTTTTATTAAAATTTTTTATTTATTAAAGCATACACCTAGACATTATTTTTTTCTTTTTCTTTTTCTTTTTTTTTTTTTTCTTTTTGGGTCACACCCAGCAATGCACAGGGGTTACTCCTGGCTCTGCATTCAGGGATTACTCCTGGCGGTGCTCAGAGGACCATATGGGATGCTGGGAATTGAACCCAGGTCGGCCACATGCAAGGCAAACGCCCTACCCACTGTGCTATGGATCCAGCCCCTAAACATTATATTTTCTAACTAAAATCCCACATTCTCTTTTCAAGATAGAGCACATTTTTACACACCTATTCGGATTTTCTCTTAAATGTTTCTTAATTCTCCTCTCCTCACTCTTACTAAATTGTATTATTTGTAGGATTTCTCTATTTCATGTTAACTTAAAGATGCATTAGCACAGAATTAACTCACAGTATTAATTTTTTAATTTGTATAACCACAAAAAAGGAAAGTAAAAAGAAATTCAACTTAACATTGATTTATAATTTTGGAAAAATTCAGGAGTTTAGCTTTAATCATCTATAATATAGGTGTATAGGTGTCACCACCTCCACAATAAAAATTAAAATGTTTTATTTCATATATGTGGGACATAAAGAAATATAATAAGGAAACAAAACATGGCCACAGTCATCATAATTGGAGACTGAGATTATACAGGAGGAGGTGTTGTCTGGAAGGGGCCCTAGGAGACGGGTGGAGAGAAATAGACACTCTTGATAGGTGTGGCACTGGAATGATGTATGTATGAAAAGCATAATTAACAGTATTATAGATCTTGGAACCATAATGAAAAACGATTAAGGGGAAAGGAAAGAGGTTGGCAACTTGCTGATCTTAACCTTTCTCTGAAATCTCCAAAGTATTGATCAGTCAGTACTGCAGAAATTAGTTAATTCCACACTGACCAGGAGTTTTCATTTTTTCCACAAGGTTCTGCCAAATGCTTTTCTTACTTTTCTTTTAGATATGCACCCATTCTTGGGATAATTATGCTCAACAGATCCTCCTTTATCCTCCCTGTGTCCTTTTTCATTATTGTGATCTTCCCAAATTTTCATCCTATGAATTTTTAACTTCCTCATTTTACCGTTCTGAACTTCATCATTTTCCTGTTTCATATTCACATAAAACAGCTGTTTAGGGGCCAGAGTGATAGCACAGTGGGTAGGGCATTTACCTTGCACACGGCCGATGCGGGTTCAATCCCTGGCATCCCATATGGTCCCCCAAGCACTGCCAGGAGTAATTCCTGAGTGCAGAGCCAGGAGGAACCCCTGAGCATAACTGGGTATAACCCAAAAAGCAAAAACAACAACAAGCAAAAACCACAGCGGTTTACACAAAGACCTAACTTTTATACAGATCTATGGACTATGATACAGATTCAGGCAAGAGGAGAACACTCTTGAAAATCTTCTCTTTACTCCATAGAAAAACTCTGGGGATATAAGGAAATACCATAAGGAAACAACAAATGCCCAAAGACAACAGAAAATGAGAACTGGTCCTTTATTGAAAGCCTGTCATTGTGGGGAGTGGTGTGGTACACTGGGACAATGGTGAAGGGGAGCTTGCAGGAGGATGTAGTGTGGGAATGTTTCAGGCACAAAAGCCTGCCATTAGCAATAGTGTAAATCATGGTGCTTGCTTAGACATTAAAAAAAAAAACTTGGGACAAAAAAAGACAGTTGTTGACATTTAATTACCTGTCCTCCAGCCAGAACTCTATTGAGGAGAAGGGGGACAGGTGATTAATCTTTTATTCATAGGAACTTTCAAAAACAGATATTATACAACTTTTAATAACTATGTATCTCAGTGTCAGGCTTTATTACTGCAACATCCAGTTCTTTTAAGGGACTTCCCTGAAAATAGAGCGTATTGGAGAGGATTTGATTCATATTCTTTAAAAAAAAAAAATTGCAGGCCTCATCCCGAAGTTTGAGTGCTTGCTGATAATGATTCAATAATTTTTAACTAATATTGTTGAATTCTTACCACGTAGGTTACTTACCTTTAACCTGATGAAATAGTTTAATCAGATCTTTCATGTCCAGACACCCATTCTCTGAATGAATAAATATATGAAATCAGGCACATAAAATCCCAATTTAAAAATGCTTTCTTTTCAAAGCAACAAATATAAAGGAAAAACAAACCTTCTCTAAACACAATAAGTTCTTTAAAATAACATGCTGCAAACTGGTTGATGTTTGACGGGTTGACTTTGAGAACAGCTCGGCTTACTCCCTCCAGCAGAGTCTTGAGGCCATAAGGTATGACAAGTCTGGGCTTTGAAGAAATCATTTTGGCAGGATGTCTTTATCTCAACTATAATGAGAAAAAAATAAAGACTTATACATAGTATGGTTTTCAGTAAATGATTTGTTATAACTATAGTTTCAAAGAAAAATTCTATCTTAAGGAAATGTTTTAGCTTCAAATCTAATCTCTAGGTATTAAATATAAATCAGGATAATTCTCGATAATCAAAAAGAAAAAGGCAGAAAACATATTACCAATAGGTGGCTAGGTGAAAACAAACAATCTTTCATTATGAAAGATTTCCAAATCCCTCCTAGGAATTCCAGCATGATATTAAATACAAAGACCACCTCTTATATAAAATTCATCATTTTGCAGGGTTAAATATTTTAAGAAAGTTCAATTGTGTTCATCTAGTACCCGTTCAAACCATCTTGCTGTACATTCATCAATGGTTACAAATCAGTTTCTCTAAGAAAATGTCTTCACTCCTCTATTTATTCCCATTTATAATCTTCATGTATTCATTTTAGCTTTCAGTTTATTTTTTGACAGCCGGGTGGGCATGTTACTTGTGGTAGTATTATGCCACACAGCATATGAACTTATCTTTTTTCCCATTTATTTCCCTAAACCTACCTTAATTTCCTCTCCCTTCTCCCCTCCCTAGTCCTGCCTTTCTGAATTTTAAGTGGTACCAAGGGTATTGCATATTATGACCTGTAATTCTCAAGAGTTGTGGAGGGTTCCATCTGAAACTGTCAGAGGTGTATGTGTGTGTGTGTTTGGGGAGGGGGGTGGTGGGGAGGGGGGGAATGATTTGAGAAGGCTTAGAAATAAAACAAAATATGTACGGAAATCAGGTAAGTGTTAAGGAAAAATGTATGGAAGGAAAACAGAGAGACTCCAAATAAACTTAGTACTTCACTTTGTAAGGCAGTTACACCACCACTGCCTTCACTTTGATGAAATGAGATGTCAGGGCTGGAGATTTAGTACAGTGAGTAAGACACTTGCTTCGCACACAGCTGACTGAGGTTCAATTCCTTGCACCCGGTATGGTCCCCTGAGCCCCACCAGAAGTGATTCCGGAGCACAGACCCAGGAGTAAGCTCTGCACATACCAGGTGTGGCCCCCCAAACAAAACAAACTTTTTTAAAAAATGCCAATTTGTATCAAATTATTTTCACAAAATGGTAAGCAATTGTTGATTCAGTTTACATTAGATAAGAAAACAAAATCAGCTGTTTGGGAGAATCACAACTATTCTGGACATTGAGACCCAGGAGGAATTTCTCCTCTGGGTCCTCACTAAGAGAATAGTATGATATAATGAACCGTGTCCTCAACAACATCCCTCTAATAAATAGAGTAACGAGTTTCATGGGGCTAAGTGGCACCATTTAACTTCAGCAATTACCAAAGGGCCAACCCCTTAAAAAAAAAAGTGTGTCACTACAAAAAAAAAAAAATCAAAACCACTAAGAAAAATAAGACTGTAAGTGTATTGACTCCCTTGCTGAAAACCTACTCTCACGGCATCATTTTAACAGCTTTGTTCAATGCAACCATCTTTTACCAGGAAGCCTGAGTGCTCATCCTGAAGCACTTTGCAAGTTTTCCACATTCGTATCCTATGTGCTCGCTCCCATTGCACCCCAGCGCTGGAGCAAACGACAAAACCCTTTCTAGAGGCGGGACCGCGGGTCAGTGTGGGACCACCCCCCTCCAGCCCCTAATCGTCGTCCCTGCCAGGTCAGACCAATCTGTGGCCGTGGCGCAAATTACAAGTCATTTGAAAGTGAGCTGATCCTCCCTCTCCAAAGCTCCCGGGTCAAGACCCCGCATTTAGAGTGGACGCATCTGATGACCCATGCATAGGCGCAGGGAGTGCCCCTGGACCCGGGGCTCCAAGCCCCAGAAGACTTGAAGGAGGCGCCCAAGAAGCCCACTGGCTCACGAGAGGTGGGCTCCAGGGTCCCGCGGCTTGCTGTTGGGTGGAGAGCACAGGGACAGGCGGCAGGGCCCCCCTCCTGGGCACCTCGGCCTTTCCCCAGCCTGGAGGACGATAGACCGGGCACCGACTGCCTAACGGCCACCCCTCGGGCCGCAGAGGGGAGCCTCCCCGCCCGTCAAGCCCCACCTTCCTTCCGGCTAAAGACGTTGCCCCCTTGCCGGCGGCTCCTGGGAGAGTCCGCCGCCCCGAGGCTCCTTTTATAGCCCCGGGGACGTCAGCGGTTGCGTCACAAAGCCCGCCCCACCTCTCAGGCCCCGGAATGGTCAGGGGGAGGGGTGTGGTCTGGGCAGCCGCAACCAATGGGGGGCCGAGGACGACAAAGGCCGGAACTCTGCGAGCAAGGGGGCTGTACTTCGCCTTTTCGAACAAATTGAAATTTGCTGTTTCCAAAGAGTCTGGAGACCCTGAGACGATCCAGTCTCAAAGGGAGGGCGAAGTAACAGATTCAGAGCACTTTCATTTTGCTGTCACCTCTCTTCACTAAGATGCTCCTGTATCTTTTCGGCCGCCCTTTCAAGTAATTTCTGCTCCAGTGCACACAGCAAACATGTATAAACAGAATGAATTTTATGCAACTCGGTTCTTTTTTCTCTTGAGAAACCTACCTGTGAAAAGTGAATCTGGTATGAGGCCCAAGCTCCGTTTCTCCTTGCTTGAAATATTTTAGGTATTCTTTCTTCCCCTCTTCCCCACCACTGCCCTCCAAAACCTTGCCATCAGCAACAAGTTGCCAATGATTAAAAGGTGTGAAATCCTGGCTCAGTTGTAGCAAAGTCAAGGAGTGTTGATCATCCAATACCCATTCTTTCACCTACTTTGGATAAACAACTGTGCTAGATATTCTATTTAACACTAATGCTTAATGGATTCCAAGCAGCCTTCCTTGTCATCCACGTTCAAATGTTTAAAAAGCAAGAACTGTTTAACCATTTTCCTTCCCCAATCCCACTCCCTAAGTTCGTTTATAAACTGAAGGGAAAATGCTAAGGCTCTGTAATAGGTCTGTAGGTGATGGAATAATTTTGTCCATCATTGCTCAACTGTTAGAGTAAAGGGAAAGTATGGCTGCCGTGATTTCTGATGCTTGGTTTATGACATTTGGTGTCAATGGAATTAGAGACATTTATGGTTGTGTGATCTAACCTTTGTAGATTCTCTTGTACACCAAACTAGGCATTAGGTACTCAGAAATCGTTTACTCTTTCCACATTTGTTCAAGACATCCTGAAATGCAAATCATTACAGTGAAAACATTTAATGAAAAACCATTGTCCATTACAGCCTTTTCTTTTCATCTTTTCAATCATGAGATCTTACAAAAATATGAAACTCTTATACTTCACTGTTTCCTTTGCCACAGTGTTTTTCTCTTTTCCCCATCTTTAACTTAGACATCACAGAAGTCCACGGTGGACCAACTTACCTCCCACTTTTTGGTTTCCATTTGACTCTAAACCACTGGGCTGGAATACAGCCACTCCTGCTCCTCTGTTCCTTTACTCATCAGTGCAAAGTATCAGACATTCTTCCAGCCATCATTTTCACCAGACAACCTTCTTCTTGATAACTCAGCTAAGAAGTATCCTTTAGAAATCAGTGAGTTAGAAGCATTTCTTCAGTGGCCCCATGATATATGCACTGATGGAGCATAACTTTGGTCTATAAAATGTTTATACTCTCCCGGAGGCAATGTTTCTTTAATTTAGGCTACCTACATTGTAATCATCCCCTAAGTAAAATGTCTTTCCTATGCCTTTCCCTAGAACCCAACTGAACCACAAGCTGAGTAGGGTGGCTCTTGGGTGAAATTAAATGGAACCCAAATATCACTGGGGTTGAAAGTGTGTCATTTCTATTTGATGTCCAGTCAACTAGTTGATAAAGTTTAGTTCTCTTGTTCCTTTTCACCACAAAGTTAATTTACAATGTGCTCAAATTTTTTTTAATCACATTTCGGGAGGAACACATTTTTGTTTTCTTGCTCGCCCTCAGCTTTTTCTCTTTCTGGATTTCTTCTTCCCAACTTCTAAGTCTCTTCCTCTGAGAGGACTGAGATTTTTTTCTATAAAACAAAAAATTATGTATCAAATACTAAACAGCACATTACTGTGTATATGCATATCTTTGTAGGTTCAAGGCAATATTTGAAACTTGCCACTATTTCCTCAATGATGCATGTAACTAGGACCGTTTACACACACAAAAACCACATGTGAATTTGTATGCACATAAACATACATAAAAATAAAATGCATTTTAAAAATCAGAAGTGCACTGTTCTTTAAGTTGGGAGAAACATGAAAGTGCAAATTTTATAAATAATTGACTCAATATCTGACAATAAGTATTCTAATTTTCTTTGACATCTGATAGTAACAATTATTCAAATTCTTTTAGCCACTATATGCTACAATAAGAGTACCTCTCCCAATAATAGTACAATTTTAAGTATACTATCCACAGAGGTGTTTATCACATTGTTATCAGACCAAGCCTCCAACTGTGTCTAATTATAAAAGTGTTTTCAGAGTACATACAATCTACATCAGAGATTTCACTTATTAGAGGCACAATCTAGTACAAAAATATATTTGACACTTAAATGACATGATCCATTGAAGAGTCTCCAAATAAGGAAAGCAGAGGGAATGAATTCAACATGAAAAAGCACACAAAGATGCAAAGAGTTCCACTTTTATATGATTATTTTCTTCATCAGCCAGGGGTAAGAAAACAACTTACACCAAACTTAGTTTCCAGGCATATTTCCATTGTTCAAAAGTCGGATAAGTCACAGCATATGGACCATAACTTGGGAATTATTGAACTGAAACGGGCTCAGATTTCAGTCGCTCTAACAGCACATTGTACTTGCACTGTGTTTAAATGTACTTGCATTGTGGTTTGGGTAGAATCTTAAGAATAATCTACAATGTACCTTTTCCATGTCTCCATGTTCATGGAGACTGTACAACAGACCCAGGGGAGACGGTTTATAAACAGACCTGTGCTTTTGACCATGTAAAACAATTCCACTGGATGATATGGAAAAGTTTTCTATTTGGTTTAGTGAGCTGAACAAAAATTTATTTGAAAATATCTAAATCTCTCTGAAAAAAAAAAAACAGATCTTTTAAGCAGTTAATTCAGAAACTTTTAAAAATTTTTTAAAAGTTCAGGGCTTTATGTAAACTTTGAATACTGAGTAGAAGTTAAAATATTTTAACTGAAAATTCAAATATGTATGAACTCTGAAGATTCAGTAAGTGCCACAAATCTGAGAAGTTTGGCACATACATTTTAGCTATGAAAACAACAAAATGGCACAAACCATATTTTGAGATTCATTATGTTCTTCCTTGGCCTTGAGAAAACCAAGGCAGTCAATATTTTAGATGCTCTTCTCTTGAGGAAGCATCGATTTTGTCTCTGGATCTACTTATTATCTGAGTGTAGTATACAGGTGCTCTCAGAATAGTATCTAAAATTCACACAAAATTCCTCTTAGGACAGAAAGCTAATGTTAGTAAGTATCTTGGAAGTGAGGAAACATCGAGACAGTTGGCCAAAGCCAGAAGCATGACCAATTCCAAAACTGACGATTGCTTCAGAGTCAGACTCCGGAGGTTAAACCTACCAATATTCTAGGTGCTTTACCCAGGGTGGACTTTTGAAAGAAATTTCGACAAGATGTTTCTTGATCTTTTCCTGACTGTGGTCCCTGCTGACCTTGTTTCCTTCCTATGGTCTGTCTGTCCTACCAGTTTGCGCCCTCGTCTTGTGCCATGTTCCCCCATTTACACAATCTCCCCATGTGGCCCTCTTGGAATATCCTAGGACCCCAGTTGAAAAACATATCGAAAAGCTGACATGGCGTGTGATCATGCTTCTATCCTAAAGTTCCATAAATAAATGACACCCTGATATGGTACTCTTCTAAAGTTCTTTAAGAAGTGATTTTAAGATTGAGCTTATGTTAGAGAATGCTTCACAAATTTGAGAAGTTTGCCACATACATTTTAGCTGTGAAGATAATCAAATCTATCATGGTAGATCAAATCTCACAAAATGCTGTTTTTAAGTTAGTATCAATTATGGGAGAAATTCTTGAAATGTGACAGGAATTTATACACTGCAAACACACATGGGCAATACTGGAAATTAAGTGACAGTAAAAATTATTAATAAATGATTAGAAAAAATTCAATCCATATTATAATATCAAATAACCTGAGCTAAACGGGAATGCTTAAAGCCTGGCAGCCCATTGCCAGATATCCTTGGTCTTCAAAATTTGTGAGGCAAAAAAATAACTTAATTCAAGAATAAACTTTCAAGTAATTTGTTAAAAGATTCCTAAAACTTGGCAATTAGACAATTTATCAGAAAGATAAACTCTGAAAATGTTGGTTTTTAATAGATACGATAAACAGTTACACTTTGGGTGACAAAACTATCTCCTATTTCCTTCTATTTATTGGCTGTCAAAGGGAAAAAAAGTTTATCATTTTGAGATGTTCAGTAGATAACCTGATAAAAATATTTTGATATAATTTCAGCTAAAAAGCACTTTTTAAAGAAGGAAAACATGGAATTCTTGACCATGATTATTATTTTTTTTATAGTAGAAGAATATTCATTCTGTCGTCATGGTCCTGTACTCTCTTCATTTGTTGTACTCATAATGGGAATAAGTCATTGAAAGAGGTGAATTTGCCTTTCTGTGCCTGAGTTTCACTGTCTGGAAAAGAAAAATGAGTATCTGTGCTACATTAGTAACAACAGTAGTTAGTGGGTCAAAGTGAATCACTAGGGAATTGAATCAAATTGAATCAAAGTGAATCACTTATTTTTTTCGAAACGACAGAAATGCTCTGTCATGAAACTGTTAATAAGTTCACAGGTGCCCCTTGGCGCCTCCCAACATGCTGACGTCAGGCGTTCCTGCGAGACCCCAGGTTGAACTCTGACGTTGATTTTATTTTAAAAATGATAAAGCACAAAACTAAAATGTTTGCACAAGGTCACTTAGCCTTCTCCCCAGGGAATCCATTTATTTTCTCATCATTATTTTGAGCTATATGTTGAAAAGAGACGATCTTTAATATATCAGCCTAACGCGGGGAATGTGTCCCTGGCACAGGTGGCTTGTGGAGGAAGAGTCGCTCTTCACAGGACCCGTGTCTTCTGCTTTTATTTGAAAGTGCAGAACCTGGGTGGGGAGGGACAGAGGGGACTCCAGGTCTGTCACTGAGGAACCAGTTCCCTCAGAGAGGCCAGAGCAGCATGGATGCGGACATGCAGTCTGTTTTCAAAGTCATAGCCAGAGAAATCCTCCTGCAAATGAAGAGAGAGATTTATGACCCCAGTGACTCTGCTTTCGGTAACAGCAGTACCACCCACACTAAGTTTTGTACTTCTCCAAGGGAAAATCCTCTCGACTTCTAAAGGCTTCACATGTGCTTGGCTTTGTTGTTCTAACCTCAACCTTGGTGTTCGCTTCTAAAATGTCAATTGTAGGTTACTGGTGCTATCCCTGCAACCCTTTCCCCGTATTATTCCTCAAGCAGTAGTCTTATGTGGTATGCAGTGAGAACAGTAAGCTGCTGATAGAAATTCTTAACAACAAGAATCAAGTTTAAATAAATTCAAAACATGTTCACACAGCGAGTGTGGGTGGAGGGAAGCGATGGAGGAAGGGGTGCTGGAAGGCAGTGCAGTGTTAATGCGTGAAACCTATCAGGATCCGTGCGAAAAACCTCAGTGCAGACTTTTTTTTTAAAAAAAAGTGTCTGTGGGGGCTGGAGCAATAGCACAACGGGTAGGGTGCTTGCCTTGCATGCGGCTGACCTGGGTTTGATTCCCAGCATCCCATATGGTCCCCAGAGCACCACCAGGAGTAATTCCTGAGTGCAGAGACAGGAGCAACCCCTGAGCATCGCTGAGTGTGATCCAAAGAGCAAAAAAAAAAAAGTACTATAGCAGGTAGGGTACTTGTCTTGCACACAACCGACTCAGGTTCAATCCCCATTGTCCCATATGTCCCCCAAGCCCTCCCAGAAGAAATTCCTGAGTGCAGAGCCAGGAGTTACCCCGAAGCATCACCAGGTGTAGACCAACAACAACAACAAAGTGTCTGTCATAGAGGTAAGTGGGAGGGAAACTGGGGACACTGGTAGAAGTGGAAGGGATTGTTGTTAGAACAAAGCATGCCTGAAACTCAGTCATAAATAAATTTGTGAATCACAGTGCCTCCATGAAATATAATATATATACATATACATATATATATATAAAATGTATGAGAGGAACTGGATAGTACAGCACTTAGGGCATTTGCCTTGCATGTGGCCAACTCAGATTCAATTCCCAGCACCCCAGACGGTCCCACAAATCCACCAGGAATAATCCCTAAGCTCAGAGCCAAGGAGTAAACCCTGAACACCTCTGGGTGTGGCCTGCCACCTTCTGTCCCCGCTGACCCCAAAATATCAGTGTAAATAGTTTCAAACTTTTTTTTGTGATCTTGGCAATCTCATTTAAAAATAAACAGCTCACTGATTCAATTACTTATCACAGTTCTCTTCCAGAAATACAATCAACCGAACAATTATTTCATAAAATTTCTTGAATTCAGGTCTGGGGAGATAGCTCAACGTGCTGGAGCACCTACTTTGTATGAGGGAGGCCTACGTCCAATCCCTGGCACCGGATGGTACCCCAAGCACTATAAGCACTTGTGGCAGGAGTAACCCCTGAGCACCTCTGGAAATGGCTCCCAAACAAAACTTCATGAATTTCAATTCCAGCATACACTTTGGAGGACAGAAAGGGCCCCAGAGAGATCTTCACTCATCTCTTACCTTTGCTTGAAGAAGTAGAGTTCTGCCTCTTGCTACTGTCTGTGAATATCAAGAAAAATATATGATCTCTTAATAACTATACTTATAAGAATTCAAGCAGAAAATTTTGTAACAGGATATGTTAAAGCAATCCATGATAAATAAAGAGCTGAGTTCAACCATAATGAATATTCTAATATACAGCTATAAGTTTTCATCAAAGTAGTACCTGATAAGTGATTTCACAATGACCCCAGTGACTCTGCTTTCAGTAACAGCAGTACCACCCACACTAAGTTTTGTACTTCTCCAAGAGAAAATCCTCTCGACTTCTAAAGGCTTCACATGTGCTTGGCTTTGTTGTTCTATAAAGTACATCTTAAATGAGTTCTAAAAACTTAGGGTAGGGGACCAGAGATATATCACAAGGGTTAAGGCACATGCCCAGTTTGATCCTCAGTAAGGCACTGTCTCCTGACCCTAGCAGGTGTGACCCTGGAGGCTCTGAAGTGCTTCCAGGGTGGCCAAGGGGGTACCTCCATCACAGTGGCAGAGAGCACTGTACCCAGAGCTCCCGCACTGAACCTCTAGCCTGGCTTGCTGATAATCACCAGAAGATGCCTCCAGAGCACCCATTAGGTCAAACCAAAAATAATTATTTAGATTAAGATCTCATCAAAAGTCCCTGAAATGCATATAAACATATAAACATATGCTACCTTGAGAGTAAAAATTTCCTGAGAAGATGTAATACTAGAAGTTTCTATCAAAATTCATGAAAACTTGCATTTTCAGTTTTGGTAAAATTAGGATTCTAAATAAAACACTGGTTAAAAGCCTGTCTCTGGCAAGAGAGGGTATACATATTTAAGTTTCAGGCTAGTATGATGTTTCTATTAATTAGTGTAACCTTTACAAAGTCTAACATACTTGAAAGCTATGCTAAATTTATTTAAAAAATTAGACTTTAAAAAGTTAGCATTGTTAACAAATGACAAAATATCCTATTATATCATTTGGAAAAAAAAAAAGGGCATGATTTTCCCTCAAAAAAAATTTTTTTTTAATTTTGGGCATCTTACGCATTGGTGCTCAAAGCTTACTCTTGGTTCTGTGCTCAGCGATCACTCCTGGTGGTTCTCAGAGGATGGTGAGTGGTGTTGAGGTTTGAGTGCAAGTCAGCCACTTGCAAGGAAAGTACCTTAACTGCTATACCATATGTCTGGTCCCTCAAATAACTTTTTATCTAAAAACTTATACTTGTAATTCTAAATTCGGGAAAGAAATCACCTCCTTAAATCCAGAAGATAGTATTAGCAACTTCTTGGATTCATGGAAGAAAAACAGAAAAAAACACAGAACTATGTTTCTCTCTCTCTCTCTCTCTCTCTCTCTCTCATATCCAGGGATTCACAATACAGTGAAATTTATTTTCTCTTTGCCTACTCATTTGTGCATATCTGCTGCTAAACATTCGTTAAGAAAATACATAAATTCTTACCTCTGGTTTGTCTAAGAGAAGACAGCCAAGTTCATAGCAAGCATAGGGCTGAACGTATAAGTTATTCTGACGACATAGCTCATCTTTAAGAGCTCGCTGAAAGTACTGAAATAATACAAATATCACTAGAATTAATTATTTTACTACTTAATGTTCATCCTTAAGAGAGTCATTTGGCTGGAGCGATAGCACAGCGGGTAGGGCGTTCGCCTTACAAGCGGCCAACATGGCCGACCCGAGTTCGATTCCTCCGCCCCTCTTGGAGAGCCCGGCAAGCTACCGAGAGTATTTGATATGCCAGACACAGTAACAATAAAGTCTCCAATGGAGACGTTACTGGGCCCGCTCGAGCAAATCGACGATCAACGGGAGGGCCTTTACCTTTTTTTTAATGTTCATCACATCCTCAGTAGATGAGAAAAGAGGTGTATTTATGTATTTTATATTAGGTTTTCTGTTTTGCATTTTTTACTCTTCATTATTTATATCTTAGAAATCCTTTGCATGCTTCTCAGGCAAGTTTTTTGCAGTACATTGGCACTCTGCAGTCACCCAAAATTGGTGTTATTTTTCCACACCAGTTTCTAATGATTTATTGCCGAGGGTATCTTTGCATCTCCAAATTTCAAAATCTGATTTTAACAGTGAAAACTGAAAGCACACAAGCCAAGTATCATCTCTTGGTATGTGTTTCAACTCTTACCCTGCTGGCACTAAAGTGTAGTATCTAAAGCTTGGGGCAGAGAGATGAACAGAAACTTCCTCAACGAAGAAAATACAAATGGCCAAAAGGCACAGGAAAAACTGCTCTGCATCACCAACCATCAGGGAGATGCCGATCAAAACAGTGCGATATTACTGTGCAGATACTGGCACGCATCAACAAGAACAGAAGAGGCACACATATGCTGCCTGGGCACAAGTGTTGCTGCCGAGCACACGTGGCGCCGAGCACGTGTCCCCTTCTGACATGTGTACTTTCACACTTTTATATCTAATGCTGGCATGTGTACTGGGACTCCCTCTCCACTCTGGAGAAGCCCACGTAAGAATCCTCCCTCCTCTCCCCTTTCTCTCCCTCCCTCTCTCCTCTTCTCCCCCTCCCTCCTCTTCTCCCCCTCCCCTCTCTCTCCTTTCCTTCCTCCCACTCTCTCCCTCCCTCTCTCTTACTCTTACTCTCCCTCTCCCCTTCCTCAAAACTTACAAATAGAACCTAGTTTGCTACTTAAAAAAAAAGAACAAGAACAAGAACAACAAGTGTTGGCATGGACTCGGGAGACTCTTATCCATTTGGTGGGAATTCTGACTCATCCAGCATGTCTGGGAAAAACCTAGGAATTGAGTTTCCATTTGACCTAGCCTCTCCACTTTGGGTAATATACCCAAAGGGCCCCAAATGAAACTGGACATAAGATACATGAACCCTGGGGGTCGTTGCAGCACTATCCCCGACAGCCAAAATCTGGAAAAAACAAAATGTCCAAGAATAGATTACTGGATAAAAAAAATCATGATACATATACACAGTGGTGTATTACTTGGCTATAAGATAAAATCATGTGCTGCTACACAGAAGGATCTGGAAAGAATCGTGCTAAGTGAGGTTACTCAGAGGAAGAGAGACTAGGGAATCATCTCTCATATGCAGGATCTAAGGAAGCATAATGGGGGAATAGTGAATGCCTAGAGACAATGGATGCAAAGAATATGAGAAGTGGTCTTCACTAAGAAATATGCCACTTGAGGGATAGAACAAGGAGGTGACTATGTCTATGGGGAGAGAAGGACTCAACTGAGTGGAGGAGGTGGTGCTGAAAGTTGGCAAAAGGTTATGGATGAAACCCTATTAACAATACTACTGTAAACCACAGTGCAAAGGCTTACAGAAAAAGCACCTCTCAGAGGCAGACTGGTGGGTGGGAGGCAAAGGAGGCACACAACTGGTGGAGGAAGTGGACTCTAGTGGTGGAGGAAGTGGACTCTAGTGAGGGGATATCAGTGTTGAAACACTGTTTGCCTGAAACCCAATTATGAATAACTTTGTAATTTCACAGTAACAAAATTTTCAAAAGTATGCTAAACAAACTCGGAGAGCCTGGCACGCTACTGAGAGTATACTGCCCGCTAGGCAGAGCCTGGGAAACTCCCCATGGTGTATTTGATATGCCAAGAACAGTAACAACAAGTCTCACAATGGAGATGTTATTGGTGCCCGTTCGAGCAAATGATGAACAACGGGAGGACAGTGCTACAGTGCTATGCTAAACAGAATTATTTAGTAATTTCCATAAACCCCACCTTGAAATTATAATCCAAGCACATCCATACCCTGAACTTAAAAGATCAATTACTGCATATAAATTCTTAAGAGTTTAAATGAGGATCTAATTACAGAAAAACCCCTCAAAATAAACCATTCAACTGTCATGACGCCTTTCCATTATATATATATATATATATATATATATATATATATATATACCACTCAAACCAGCAGCTTTCTCCGCCCTAGCTCCAGACCACGACAATGATCTGTGCCTACAGAGAGGGGAAGTGAACACATACGGACAGGCCTGGTAGCCTGGTAATTTTTGTATTTTCTAACTGTGACATTGGCACCGCTCCTTCAAAATTACCTATTTTGTCAAATTTGATTAATAGCTCATGCCAGAAAGAAGCGCAGGACATTTCCTGTTCTTCTTAGTTGTGACAACATTAACAGTTTACCTGAACAGCATCTTCCGAGTTCCCTAAACATTTGTGTATGGCACCAAGAAGCAAATACTTTAATCCAGCAACAGATGAATCATCCACTTCATGGCAAGCTTAAAGAGAAGTGAGAATAAAAAATAGGTAAAGGAATAAACATGATAACCTCTCAGTACCTGTATCGCAAACCTTAATGCCCAAGTTGGGGGGGAGAGGGAGGGGAGAGGGGAGGGAGGGAGGAAGAGAAGAAAAGTGCCTGCCACAGAGGCAGGCTAGGGATAGTGGGAGGGAAACTGGGGACACTGGTGGTGGGAAAAGTACACTACTGGAGGGAAGGGGTGGATGGATGTTGGAATATTGTATGATTGAAATCCAACCATAAACAGCTTTGTAACTGTGTATTTTATGGTGATTTAATTTAAAAAATTAATTGAGGGGCTGGAGAGACAGCACAGCGGGTAAGGCGTTTGCCTTGCACGCCGCCGACCCAGGTTCGATTCCCAACATCCCATATGGTCCCCTGAGCACTGCCAGGAGTGACTCCTGAGTGCAGAGCCAGGATTAACCCCTGTACTTCGCCAGGTGTGACCCAAGAAGCGAAGAAAAAATATTTGAAAAAGGGAGAAGTGAGAACAGGGGAAAGAAAATTTAATTCCTTTAAAACTCATCAACAATTTAAGAATTTCACTGGTTGAAGACTTAATCAGTTCATGATCTGCCCCCTAAAAATCAGGGTGGAGACAATGTAGGGTACTGTGGGATCTTGTTGTGAGATGGATAACAGAGTGTTCTAAGCACTGGAAGGATGTGGCAGGAATTACGGACAAGATCACACTTGCAGTGCTAAGACCTGATAAACTAAACGCACAAAGCCTACGGTGTGCTGGATGAAAAGCATTTTTAAAATGCATCTGACCTTCCATATGACCCCACAATACCACTTCTGGGAATATATCCTGAGGGTGTAAAACAGCACAGTAGAAATGACATCTGTACCTATATTTTCATTGCAGCACTGTTCACAATCTGAAAACAATCCACGTGTCCAAGAACAGATGACTGGTTAAAGAAACTTTGGTACATCTACACAATGAAATACTATGCAGCTGTTAGGAGAGATGAGAGATGAAACTTACTTGTAAGTGGATAAACATGGAGAATATCATGCTAAGTGAAATGAGTCAGAAAGAGAAGGACAGACGTAAAAGGACTGCACTCATTTGTGGAGTATAAAATAACATAACATGAGACTGACACCCAAGAAGTAGACATAAGGGCCAGGAAGATTGCTCCATAGTTGGAAGCCTGCCTCATGAGCAGAGGGGAGAAGGCAGCTGGAATAGAGAAGGGATCACTAAGAAAATGATGGTTGGAGGGATCAGTCAGGATGGGAGATATGTGCTGAAAGTAGATAAAAGGACCTAACATGATAATCTTTCAGCATCTGTATTACAAACCATAATGTCCAAAAGTAAAGAGAAAGTATGGTGAATATTATCTGCCACTGAGGCAGGGGGAGGGTGGGAAAGGTGGGGGTATACTGTGTACATTGGTGGTGAGGAATGTGCACTGGTGGAGGGATGGGTGTTTGATCATTGTAATGACTGTAACTCAAACATGAAAGCTTGTAACTGTACCTCATGGTGATTCAAAAATATATTAAAAAAATGCAGCTGACCAAAATCACTGCTTACCAGTTCATTCTTAAATGTAGCTCCTTTCCTACAAAAAGTTTACTGTATATATACTGCTAGATGGATTAGAATAATTACTTCTTTACATCTTTACAGATTAAATAATACAATAATAAATTTCAGAACTGGGGTATATGCTTTCCTTTGTTCTTTCAAAGGGGGACACACCTGGTGGTGCTGGGGGTTCCTTGGCTTAGTGGCAGGTGTCAGTCACTCCCAGCAGTACTTTAAGGCCTGTATGTTGTTAGGGATTTAATGGAGCCTCATGCATGCAAAACCAAGTGTGCTGGCCCTGTGAGCCCTCTCCCAGTTCAGAACAGTACCTACCCCAATTACTGCCTATTTTTATGGTTGCCTGTGTGTTTCAATTCCTAGTACATGAGCCTGCTTGTAAAAGAATACTCAAAATTCCTCATTGTTTCTCTGACTTAGATATTGGTAGACAGTTTAGTTTTCCCTTTTGGAGAGGGAAGGGCAGGGACCCTGGGTCATACCCAGCAGTACTCAGGGGTTAATCATAGCGCTGTGCTCTGATATCACTCCTGGTAGGACTTACGAGGATGGATCAAGGTGCTGGGGTCCGAACCAGAGTTGACACAAGCAAGGCAAACACTTAACCCCTGATTTATCTCTTTAGTCCTGGAAGACAGCTTAGAATTACATTGAAAGTTTAAAACGAGATGGGTTTTAAATTTAGTACATCCTTTTAAACAAACAGCACAACTCAAGAATCCCAGGAAATGGCTATTTAAGTAGGACTCTAAGGAAGGCCCCTGTACCTACTCTAACCACTGATCTCTCAACACAACTTCCTCTGCAGCTGTGTTCCTTTGTTCTCTTAAAGATTAAAGATGGCAAAGGTTTTGACCTTTGAAGTACATGAAAGTTTTTTTTTTAAAAATAAGCAAAAGGTATCTGTAGGGAAGTATTATGATAATGTATTGATTCAATAAACAAATACTATATATAAATATATAAGTGGCCCAAAACTAGTAAAATGTCAAGAAATATGATAAATATTCTATAATGGCTACCAAATGATTTTTGAAAAAATTTCAAAGCACACATACTAAACCTTTTGAAGAGAGGAAAAAGACAATTTACATGTGAGTACATAAAGGTAATTTATAAGTTTATGTGTGTAAAAACGTATTTCGGTACCTCCATCCTTTTGGATGGTACGGCTTTATTGGGGGTGGAGGGTCCATAATCCCTGACAGTGCTTGGGGGTCCTGCAGTGCCAGGGACCCAGCTGAGAGCGGCATCTAAGCTGGACATGTGCTCTAACACATGAGCTTCAGCTCCAGCTCCTGGACACATGTGTCTTTAACAGAGCAGTCACCTGGTACAGGGAGCATGGCTTCAGTGTCCCCACTGCAACGGAACACAGTCCTCAGCAGCCCTGAGCACCCAGGACTGTTCCCACAGGAGCTGGGCTAGTCTCCTTACCGCCTAGAGCCTTGGCTTCCTCCCTATAAACAGGGTCTGACAATATTGCCTGTCTTTACACTTCCCCATGTGGCAGTGGGAAGCAAATGAAATAATTTGTTTGAGTCAAGTCCCTCAAATGCCAGCCACCAACCCTTGAGAAGAAATGTGAAGGTATTCATTTTTACAAACAAAGGTCATTTTATTTTAAAATCAGTTACTCCTACAATCATAATAAAAATGACTCTATGGAGGGTATATTATCATAACCTAGGGCTTATGTTTTTTTTTTTGCATTTTGGGTCACACCTGGCGATGCACAGACAGGGGTTATTCCTAGCTCTGCATTCAGGAATTACTCCTGGCGGTGCCTGAGGGACCATATAGGGTGCTAGGAATCAAACCCAGTTAGCCACGTGCAGGGTGTACCTGCTGTACTATCACTCTAGCCCTGCTTGTGTTCTTTTTTTTTTAAGATTGTTGAAATTTTATTTTATTTTATTATTTTTGGTTTTGCACCACACCAGCAATGCTCCAGGGTTTCTCCTGGTTCAGCACTCAGGAATTCCTGGCAGCCCCAATTACTCTCTCTGGCCCTAAGGTTGTTGCAATTTTAAATAAAAATATGGAACGCTTCACAAATTTGCGTGTCATCCTTGCGCAGGGACCATGCTGATCTTCTCTGTATCGTTCCAATTTTAGTATATGTGCTGCCGAAGCGAGCGCCGCTTATAGTCTTTTAATGCATGCATTAAACATGTTGGCTTCCAATTACATGCCTCTATATTAACGTGAGACATGAGCATATACATCCCACATGAAAGGCTTGTACACTTCTGAGGTCCATCTGAAGCAGCTTCACTCGTGCTAGGAAAGAGCCCACCGGGAACTAACGAAATGTTCTTCCGTGGGAGAAGGCATCAGCAAACTTAAACTGTGAGCACACAACACCACCACTCAGCAAGCACACAATGATGGATCCAGGATCCAATAGGGACTGGTCACACAAGCATGAAGCCAAGCTAGAGAAACATACCCATACAGTTTCTCAGATCATTTCAAGGACAAGTGTGATTAGTTGATGGAGACAGTCAGAAGACTCGCTGACAAGGGAAATTTGAGGGGTGACAAATATTCTGTAACTTGACTGTGATGGTGGATGTGTTAGGACCAAAGTGTAGCCATTGTAGTTGTTAACAGTCATTTTGCTATTCTATATGATTATGTAACTGACAGCTGAACTGAGTGTGAACCCGAAACCACATCCTGGGAAAGGGAACAGAATGAACAAAATTGACAATGCTTGCAGAGAGCGCCAGCCAATCAGTAAAGAGAAGGAATCTAGTGGTCGGCCAGGCACAGAAAGAACAGAAAAAAGAGGCACTCACAAGTGGCACTAACCAATCAGCTTAGAGGTGAGTTAAGGAGAAAGAAAAATGTGTTTTTAGGGTACTAAAACCCTTCCCCAAAGTGGCTGGGGGTCATACTACAACTGTTTCTCTATTGGGGTGTGGCCTTGGATTGGTCAGTCTCTGTAACACTCTCTTAACACACTCTCTCTCTGTAACACATTCTCTCTATAACTCTCTCTCTCTCTCTCTCTCTCTTTCTCTCTCTCTCTCTCTCTAACAAATCTCTTTAATAAAATCTTTGAACTCCTTACGGGTGCCTTGTGTTCAAGTCGCAGACCCTAACAGATGCTAAGGTGTAGATGCTTATCAAAACTCACCAACCTGCACCCAACTATCTGCACATCAGATGATGAAACAGGCCCCCTGGAACTGAGGGCTCTCAGAGAGAATGTGTTCTTACAAACAGGTCCAACACAACAGAACCTGAGAACTGGTCTATAGAACACAGCTTACCAAGCGGCTAATTGGGAGGGGACACTGAGGCTATGGGACAATGGTGGAAGAAACTGGATACTAGTGGAAGGTGTGGTGCAGGAATAGGGTATGTACGAAACCTTATCATTAGCGGTACTGTAAATCAAGTGCTTCAAATGAAAAATACCTAATATTTAAAATGTATTAATTATACAGTTACATACATCTCTCTAAGTGTGCTTCCAGCAACTCCCGTGGGTTCAGACTAATGCTGTGGACATCCAGTGGACAGTACCCACACTGCCCTCAGAACAGCGTCTACCTGTCACCTGCAGCAACTGTGCCAGGCGGCCAGACCTGACCCGTTCTCTCTGAGTCGGACACTATCCCTGAGGAGCTACAGCCTGGTGCGTGGAAGGCGTCTCGCTCGTTTTACCTTGACTCATCCTCTGGAGGTTGGGGAAGGAGCAGTTGGGCAGGGCCTTCCACAGGTACAGCACCTCCACCGCCGCCAACACGCACAGAACTCTGCTTGGGGCTTGTTTCCGAAACCTCTCTGCCTGCAAGAGTTAGAGTAGTTAGGCCCTGGGTTGTGCCTGTTTTCTTTCATTAAAAAAAATTTAAATGAGGGCACTTTGGAGATTTTTAGAAGAAGACGAATTCCACACAACTGGCCCACTCCAACAGGGCTGAAAATAAAATTCTTTCTCTATAAACATGTTTGCCTTCCCACTTATACATGGGATGGTTTTTCTTTATTCAACTTAGTCTACCATCAAGATCCAGGGTATATTCTGAAAACTTTAGGGATTCATTTCATTAAATCACTCTGGCTGGCACACAATTCAGTGGGGTTAGAGAAGGCTCATTCCTGATGAGGGTCTGGTGACCTTCCCGCATTCTGTGTGGCTCCGCGCTCAATGGCACTGCCCGCTGTGATCTAATTTAGACTTGAGACTTTTATGACACTCCCATATATGGGAAACTAATAAAAGTAAATTTATGTAAAAAATCAAGATACAAGTGGCCATGTTATAATCCATAGCAATTCAGGAAATTCATGCTTAAAACTGCTGAATAAATTAGAAGCTTGATCGCTCCTGTCCTTTGCCCTTCTGCTAGTGAAATGGACACCCGCTTTTGTGTTTTAGTTAAAAATGGGACACAGTTGGTCATTTTATTTACTCAGTAGCTATTTCCTAAGTATGAGGCTTCTGCAGGTGCGTTTATACACGTGACATGAACAAGGGTCTACATCTCTCGCCCAGGTTCTGTCAGTGTGTTGTCCTCAGAAATGGCCAGACTCTGTGGACAGACGCTTTCCCTCTCCGGACAGGATCCTCTGCTGCTCAGAGTCTGCCATTTCTCCCCACTCCCTCCAACATACACAGCTTCTTGAATCATTTGCAGTCACATTCCATTCTGTGCAGAAAAAACTTCTCTCTGTAGCAGTGAATAGTATAGTACAGGGCAAGCCACTTGTCAGCTCTGAATAAGACCTCTTCCTCATAGCACTGGTTACAAACGCTCATCACAAACAAAACTCGAGCTCAAGAGGCTCCATACCTTTTTCACTGAGAACTGTTCAATCTGGTTGTTTTTCCTTTTGAAGAGTTTCTGAACTTCTTTAAAGACAAGCTGGGCCCCCTCCACATCACCAGTAGCTCCCTGGCAAACTGTAAGAGAGCATTGGTATTGTAAATTATTAGACATGGATGCCTCCAAGCTATATCTAGGTTTATGATACTCGGAAAATGTTACCAAAGGAAAGCAGGGAGCAAGTATTTCTAAGAATAGTTTCACAAAGGGCAACAGTCATTCCATTTACTCAGTGACCCGTTTCTTAGGGACTGAGTTTCTAAAGGTTTTGGAGAACTATGAAAAAGACACAGATTCAGCTCTCTGGCTGAGAAGACAACCTCCTATGCCCTCTGGTTCTGTCATGGTCTACACTCGCTAGAGAAGACACACTCAGAGAGGGGAATCAATAATAATAACTAAGAAAGAATAGTGAGAGGATACTACAGGTCTTCTGGGAGGGAAGGGGCCATCCCTGTTTCCTGGAGAAAATGAATTGATCCCACACAAGTGCACCCACCATCTGCCACCTGCCAGCAGGGGTGTGGGGAGGAGCACAGGCTTTCAAGCTGAAGAAACCCAAATCACAGCCGGAGGCATAAGACACCCACAACGTCTGATAGGTACAACATAGATCGCGGTAACAGGCCTTCAGAGCAGACAGCACTGCTGCAGAAATTCAGAGAAATGTAAGGAACTCTGGAGGTATTGGGGAAGTTCCGAGGCACATGCCCTCAATCAGGCAACCGGTGGGACTCTGTCAGTTGTCAAACATCTTCACCCCACCCCAAGCCCACCGAGAGATTTCATCATACTGCTCCCTTTGCTTCCTTTGCCCTCTCCCTTCTCCAAATTTCACACTGGGCTAGAGTCCCAGCTCCTCAGTGAAACTCTACCAACTACTGTGACCCCCGCATATCCGTCAATGCAGCCTTGGCCCCAGGCTGTTTTTCAGCCCCTAGTTGGACTGTCCATAGGCTTGCAAACTCCTCTCTCTTTATTTGCATACCCCTAGAACTAAAGGGCCTGGTCCTTACTTTTGGGGGCTCGGTCAGGCAGAGCATGGAACCATGACAAGTAGTGAATAGGCAGCTGGGGGTGGAGGAAGGCAAAGCAGTAAAATCTGCAAGGCCTGGACAATGCTGGACACTGATGAGCTGATGGAAAACAGATTTCTACAAGAGGGCTTAGGCAAAACACAGAAAGGAAGGAGCACTCCCCATGATGGGGCAACCTCAGTGTGGATATGGGGGTCTGAATTCCAGCTCAAGGCCTTGTCAGTTATACTTCTCAAAACCAGAAGGAGGCACCAGGATGCACAAACAAGGCCCATTTAGATAGAAAGCAGAGACTGTGGAAATCTGAGGAAGTGAAGGGCATGCCTAAGGATTTGCAGTAACTCCATGCAAAGGAAGTTCCTCTGCTGTTCCTTGCTTGGAGCTTTCCTTGCATAACTGACAACGTTCTGGTAAAACCTTTCATAATGTTATCTTCAAAACCAGAGCAATGACCTGAATGTCCATGATCCCAGAGGCACACAATCTCGGAACCCAGCAGTTTTTGGCAGAAAGGAGTCTGTACTGTTTATTAAGCTATGGTGCCGTACCACCCTGGGTGGGAAAGGGTATTGTCCCTTCCATCTTTTTCCCCCAGAGGAGGCACAGTGGCCACCATCTTTCAAAGCCTATTGGACAGCCAGGTAGGAGCCGGCAGTCATGAGACATGCGGGATGGGGGTGGAACCGGCGCTTCTACCCACCCCAATGAGACCCCGAGTTGCCACCCACAAATAGTTCCTCCGGCTCCTGAACGGCCATGATCCCAGAGGCACACAAACCAATCTCAGAACCCAGAAGCTTCTGGCAGAAATGCTTCTGGACTGTGAACTAACTCCCGACCCTCCACACTTAATTAGTAAAATATCAGAAATCCAAGACATCATATGCTCTTCATAATCAGCAATAGAAAACAAATTATCTAATGATGCCTTTTCGGCAGGTCTGATTGTTGGGGGAAAATTCCAAATAATAATGGTAGGTCTTTTGTTGAAATATTGAATGCAATCAAAGTAGAGATAGAGTAAAGTAGAAATCATCTGCTGCACAGGCAGGGGGAGGGTTGGGATGGGGGGTATACTGGGGTTCTTGGTGATGGAAAATGTACACTGGTGAAGGGATGGGTGTTTGAACATTGTATGACTTAGACTTAAACCTGAAAGCTTTGTAACTGTTCTCATGGTGATTCAGTAAATTAAAACAAACAAACAAACAAACAAACAAAACAGAGCAGTGAGCTAGGAGCACCACCACAGGGTGCTAAACAGTGACGGCTGAAGCCCCGAAGAGCACTACCCTAAAACACTGCAGCTCCCGGAGGATAAAGGCCGCTTCTTCCTCTCAGGGTACAGCCACAGCTTTATTTTTCATAGTGATAAGGGTTGAACCCGGGGCCTTGCAAACAAGAGGCAGGGAACACACCCCTGGCCTCAGAGAACTGTTTTAAACCATAGAGAGGATGGTCTGTGCTCTCACTCTCTTATTCATTCTTGGAAAATTCCTTCCCTCAGTAAACTTTGATACAGAGGCTTAAAATCCCCCGCCCCACAAGCCCCTGCTGCCTGGGTGGTCTTGAGTCGGTTGTTGCTACCACCTGCGCTGTGGGGGGCTCCAGCCCAACCTCCACCTCCTTGTGTTTCCCCCCATGCTCCTCACTGGCACAGCTCGCCTGGTGTCCCAGCCGTCTGTTTGTGATCAGGCCATTGTTGACATTTTTTTATTTAAATAAAAAATTTATTGGATCACCGTGAGATATAGTTATAAACTTGCATGACTGCGTTTCATTCGAACAATGCTCAAGCACCCCTCCCTCCATCAGTGCACATTTTCCACCACCATTGTTCCCAGTGTCCCACCCACCTCCCCCACCCTACACCACTCCCTGCTCCCTGTAGCAGGTACATTCTTACTCTCTCTAATTCTGGGCATTGTGATTTGTGATACAGATAGTAAGAGGTCATCATGTTTGGTCCCTGGTTTACACATATCTCCCAACCGGGGCGATCCCTCCAATCATCACTGTTGACTTTCTAGGGCACTGGGCACCCTGTGTCTTGGCTGCCCCCTCCTGGGGTGAGGGTGGGGCAGTGGGCTGCAGGGCCAGATGTGTCCAGCTCTGTCCTCCTGGGCAGCCGTCATCACTTTCAGTGGACATTGAACCATGATGGCTTAATGTGGGGTGTGTGGGCCCGGCCGCCACCCACCCTATCTGCATGAGGATGTTCCCCACCGTCCACTGCCTAGTCCTGGGGACAGAGTCTGCTGCTCCTAGTGCTTGGGGACAGCACAGCTACCAAACTGCAGTTGCTTCCAGTCCTGGTGAGAGGTTGGGTGTCCTGGCACCCCAACCTTGTTGTCACGGTGCCCCTGCCCCAACCCGCCCCCCACAGCAACCTGGGTGGACCACGCCAGAGGCCGAGCCTTACTTGTCCCCTGGTGCCTGTGGCCAGTGCCTGGCCGGTATGCATCTGGCCGCACCAGCCTACCACCTCTGCCCCCAGGCTAGGCTCCACCATTCCTGCAGATACCCCCCACCCCCACTCAGCCTGACCCCTGAGGGAGCAAGTGAACAGTCACAACCATAACCTGTGATCCCCACTCCACTGCCAGCCAGGCTCCACCTCACCCACAGCGCTGGCCCTGCTACTCCCGTTCTGGACAGGAAATAAAGTTCCCTATGGGGAAAAACAGAAAATATATTTTTTTAATTTTTTTGCTTCTGGAGTCCCAGGTGGCGATGCTCAAGGAACCATTGAAATTAGGGACTGAACCCGGGTCAGCTGCATGCAAAGCAAGCATCCTATCCATTGTACTATCCCACTGGCCCCATATCTGTATTCTAACCTGAGACAGAACTAAGATACTTGGGTAGCGGGTAGGGCATTTGCCTTGCGTGGGTTTGATCCCTGGAGTTCCATATGATCCTCAGGCCTGCCAGGAGTGATCCCTGAATACAGAGCCAGGAATAACCCCGCAAGCATCACTAGTTGCGACCTTCAAACCAAAGAAAAGAAAACCCCACCAACCAAACAAATAAAAAATCAGATACGTGGCCTTAACATTAAGACTGAATTTATAGACTTCCTAAGTGATTTCTAATCTTCCAGGTAATTTTTACTTTGTATACAATTTAATGGGCTAGAGCAATAGCACAGCAGGTAGGGCATTTGCCTTGCACGCAGCCAACAGGCCGACCCGAGTTCGATTCCTCCGCCCCTCTCGGAGAGCCCGGCAAGCTACCGACAGTATCTCACCCGCACGGCAAAGCCTGGCAAGCTACCCGTGACGTATTCAATATGCCAAACACAGTAACAACAAGTCTCACAATGGAGATGTGACTGGGCCCACTCGAGCAATCGATGAACAACGGGAAGACAGTGACAGTGATACAATTTAACATCTATAGAAAAGACCAAATAATACAAGGCTATGGTTCAGCAATTCCACTTCTAATACAAAGAAATAAAAAGTAGGGTCTCAGAGACCCCACATTCACAGTAAGCATTACAAAACTCAAAAAGCGGATATAACTCAGATGTCCATTTGGTGGATTAATAAATATGCACATTTATACAGTGTTTAACATCTGCATGTTAAAAATGTCATCCTGACTCATACTATGCTAGAGGCATGAAACACCCACAAAACCTGGTAGGTACAACACAGATAGTGACAACAGGCCTTGAACACAAATAAACCTAGAAGACTTTACTCTAAAAGAAATAAATCAGCCATTATAGACTAATACTGATTATGAATATTGGTGAAGTTTGAAGAGGCAGGAAGTAGAACATCAGTAACCAGGGACTGGTGGGCAGGGTGTGGTTGGTGGGGGTAAGGGAAGAGTGTGTTGAAGGAGATGGAGTTTCAGACACGAACAATAACCTTTTGGGAACAGTCAGTACTGATGATGGTATAACAATCTGCATCTACATACTGCCAAGGGACTGTTTTTTACACTTAAAAATGGTTTAAAGGGACTGGAGCAATGGTTGGTGGGGAAGACATTTCATTTGCACACAGATGACCAGGGTTCAATACCCGGCATCCCATTTGGTTCCCCAAGCACCACCAGGAGTATTTCCTGAGTTCAGAGCCAGGAGCATCATTGGGTTAAAAAAAGCAAAAAATACAAATAGTTCAAAAATGGTTGAAATGGTATAGTTCATTATCTAAAAGCTACCATATCTATAATTATATCTATATTTCATGTTCTAAAAGCTATCATAGGAGCCAGAGAAATAGTACAACAGGTAGGGTGCTTGCCTTGCCCTTAGCTGACCCAGATTCGATCCCAGCACCCCATATGATCGCTTGAGTACTGCCAGGAGTAATTCCTGAGTGCAGAGCCAGGAAAAAGGCCTCAGCATCAGTGGGTGTGGCCAAACCCCGAATAAATAAATTAAAGCGGCCACAGGAACTAAACCTTCGTGGCAGTTCTTGTTTGCCAAGTGCCTATCCTCCCTACCTGTGCCCGTTGGCATTTACCAGACTTCACAACCAGTTCAAGATGCCTTTTCTGAAAGTCTGACAAAAGCGATTCCTGACTGCCCTGAGGAGTCTTCACACAAGAGCGACTCAGATGCCTCATCTTCTGCACAAAATCCCCAGGCAAAGCAGAAGTGAGGCTCTTTCTTCCTTGTCTGGTATAACCTCCAGGGTTTCCATGATTTGGAGGATAAATCAATGCTCCCCTATGAGTCATACCAAACACTCCTTTCATGATCACATGCTCGCCAAAGATGAAAAAGAAGCAGCTGCCCACAACTAACTCTGGGACTTGGTTATACCTTAATAACTGCAAGGTCATTGCCATAGGTCTCTGTTTGGAACATGTACTCTTCAATGTGTAGAGCTCCACAGCCCCCCCCACCCCACTGCTGAACAAACAGCAGCCACCTTAACCAGAGAATGTTACACGGGAATTCTGTAGAGCAACTTTAACCGTGGCAGGCAGTGCACTAATTGAACATGAAATCCAATTCAAGCATCAACTGCAGAGCCAATGAAAGTCGGATGCCATGCGGTAACTGCAGTGAGGCTTGGGGGCAAGGAGACTGTACATGGACTGCTGATGGATGTAGCCTGGACACACCTAGGATAAACATACTAATCACTATTCATTTAGTTCTAAGACTAAGGAGACTTGTTATAGGGGTGGAATGACAAAAGATGCTTCACTAAAACGAATATGCAGACAAAAAGATATTTAAAGTAATTGTGGGGGGAGACTTGATTTTACATAAGAGTCATTACTCTGGTTGAACAAGAAGAGTTCACTGTTAAAGCCAGAAAATGAACAACCACATGGGTTTCTTCACTTCCCTCCTCCTTTCTGACATCCTTTAGCGCTCTCAGGGCACAGAAAACCCCTTTTTCCACCAGGGGGCAGCATGCCTTTAACTATCGCCTCACAACAGAGCAGAAAACAAAACCCCCGAAAAAAACCCCAAACCCCCAAACAAACAAACAACAAAACAACCAGGCAAGCAATAGTCACATCAGAAATTATAGGTATTTCTGTTATAATGACACACCGTGATAAAATACTTGGGGAATCTGCAAAATCACATTGTAAATTAACAGTGAACAGAGAAAACAAAGTTACTCAAAATTTTTGAGTAATCAGGGCAGGAACAATTAACACAACTGAACAGATTCACTATACCCTAACATATTTTACATTCCTAATGAATGAAAAATGAAACAGGGATCAGGGTAAGGGTAGGATGAGCTGTTTAAGGCAAAATGCACATGGATAGAGAAACCCTCAAAAGCATGTCCAAGCCACATGACCAAGCCACCCCACATGAGGGTCCAGTAGAGGCTGGGGAGGAGTCAAGGGTGGGTGTTCAGCTGCATCGGTGAGTGCTGTACTCCACAGGAACTGCCCAAGAAGTACAGACATGCACGGACAGAACCACCACTTATGCATCTCCTGTCACCTTGTTTCATCTACCAAGAGCTATGGCTGAGATATCTACTTACCTGCAGTTAAATAGGCGTAATAGCACTGAGACCACCTCGACTCGTTTTTCAGCCTCTCAAAGGAATCAAAGGCATCCTTAAAATTCAGCTCAATCATGCTGCACCAACCTATGGGAGACACGTTCTCAGATGAGGACCCCTAGGCAGGAAGGATTTTGTCCTGTTTGTAAGCTGTGAGCCCCCTATAACCACTTCTCACTCTGTCTGTGAGCATTAGATGAACATGACACAAAAATTCTGAAAATTCGTCCTTGATTCTTGAATGCCTTCAATATGTTTTGAGGAAGAAGAGGCATTGCCAATTTTATAAGTGAGGACTGTGCGGAGCCTGATGTCAAGATTTGTGGGAAAAGATTGCAAGGTTTGCCTCCTCCCTGTGTGAGAGGAGCCCAGCCCAGTCATGAGCTCCTCATGCCAAGTCTTCAAGCACTCACCTGCTCCTCAGTGATTGCTAACAACTGTTACCCCCAACCTCCCCCAGCAAGCTGGCAGTGAACTCCATCACCCCAGGATCAGAACACTGAGACAGGCATCCTGGGAAGAGCGGCAGCAGTAAAAAGGAAAGAACTGGATGCCCGTGGTTATAAACAGTATCTCCCACACAGAGTCCCTCTGAGCCTCTTTCTGGGCTAGGAACATGACATAATTCTCTCAAATCCCTGTGCAGGCTGAGGATGTGCTCATTTTACCAAGGAAAAAACCTAAGGAATGAAGTTTTATGGCACAGCAACTAAGAGGGAAGAACTGAGGCACTGAGGTCAATGCACCATCGAAAGGAAATTCTGGGGGCGGGAGCCAGTGCAGTGGGTGAGGCACTTGCCTTGTACACAGATGACCTGGGTTGCATCTCTGGTACCCTGTATGGTTCCCCTGAGCTCCATGAGGCGTGATCACTGAGCACAGACAGAGCAAGCCCTGAGAACCACCCAATGAGGCTCAAAAACCAAAACACAAAAAACAAAAGGAGATTCTGGTATCTTGTGCATCACAAAGTCCTGGTGTGACCTGGGAATGGCCGCATGAACAGTGGGGGTGATGAGGAGTAGCATTTTTGGAAGACTTCATGTCCTGTTCTTTAGTTATCTTTTTTTTCTTTTTTGGGTCACACCCTGTGATGCACTGGGGTTTACTCCTGGCTCTGCACTCAGGAATTACTCCTGGCAGTGCTGAGGGACCATATGGGATGCTGGGAATCAAACTCAGGTTGGCTGTGTGCAAGGCAAACACCCAACCTGCTGTGCTATTGCTCCAGCCCCTTTAGTTGACATCTTTTAGACTAAAATCGAAAATAATGATTATGAGGTTTCCTTCTGATGTGCTGCCCTGTCAGAGTCTTGGAAACAGGACACAAAATGAGACTGCCATTAACATCTTACAATATATACACATTTCAAATCATTGCGTTGGCTAAACCCAGCTGAGATTAAAAAAAAAAGATCCAATTAACAACCCAAAATTTTCAAGAGGTTCCCCAATTCTCATCTCTAATATTTCAAAGATGAGCATTGACATATAGCTCTGTGTGTGAAATTATGTACAAAACTTATCTCCAAAATTATACTTTTGATAACTCCCCCTAAATCACTATCTTGTAGTACACAACACAATGTTATGTATGTTAACAAAACTGTATTTCAATAAAGTTAAAAAAAATAAGTGACTTTAAAACATGGAAGTCACTTAAGGAGATCTTCGAATTCAAGTCCTTTGGAACACTTTCCATTCTACACTGGATCACAGAGCTCCAGCAGAGTTAGACACAGAAATACATTTCCACTGGATTATACTTTAGGCACTGAAAAGCACAGCTCAGCTTATAGGGCAGCTTTCAATTTGTTTAATTTACACTTGGCTTTGAAAAGGCTCAGGAAGACAATTATGCCCACAGCAGGAGGAGCAAGCATCTTACGGTCCCAACTTGCCCACGGGGTGACAACTGCCTCGCCAGGGAGTTCTTTCCTCTCTCTGCAGGCTGCTCTTCTGTCCCAACTTCCCTTCTGCTCCCCATCACCCCTCTTCATCTCTCCTTTCTCTGCAACTGCATTCCTTCCCTGCATGCTCTAGGAGGTAACCTTGGAGTCAGAGACTGAAACTCTATGATGTATAAACCCTGTATTAAAAAAGTGGTTGTTTCAAGTCTAAAGTTGTGCCCAGGCTTCTTGGCCTAACAGAAAAGCTATGACCCAAAGTAACAGCAAAAGGAGAGTTTAGTGCCATCGGCAAAAAACACTCAGCCACAACTCTGGGGAAGGAAGGGAGACTCCGAGATAAACTGATGCTTCTAAGTCTGCAAATTTATCTGCAGAAGGGGAAGTAGCTAACGTGTGCACCCGTACCTGTCAGCAGGCGTCCCTTTGCTTCATGCAAAGCTTTCACCTGCCACAAAGGAGGCTCCTTCTCTCCAGTGGTCTCTCTGAGAGCCAGGCTTGGGATACCACACAGCCAGCTCTCTCAGAAGCTCAGGGGGACAAGGTGAAAAGGTGGGGAGGGATCCTTTCTAAATTCTAACATGCTATCCCTAAGGTATAAAAATGGTTTTCAACCAATTTGCAAATTCTAAAATTTAAATGTCTAAGATACAAATTCGAAAGGATGAGAAAGGCCAAGATAAGCACTAGCCCTTGTGCTACAACAGCACTCCAAGGCTGCAAGCACTTCAAGACTTAACGTGAAGAGCACTCATGATGAAAAAGAACACGAACACAGGAATACTAGAACGGCTTAAGCCCAGCCCCAAACAGAGGTAGAGTTTGCATCAGTCCTAGTCAACAGCAAGACATTAGGTATACGGTGTGTGTGTGTGTGTGCGTGCGTGCATGCATGTATGCGCCAGGAGCCCAGGCTCTTTCCCACTTTCCCACTGAGTCCCGCACATCTCACACTTACCAATTTCATACAGACAGACATGCTGGATTTCTCTCTGATCTATGGCCAGTTCCAGAGCAGTGTGGAAGGAAGTCAAGGCACTGTTGATTTGACACTAAAGGAAGAAAAAAATTGAAAAGAGTTACTGGATAAAACCTGTCACCTTTTCCCTTAATGGTCAAACAGGCTGAGCGGCAGAGGATTTGCAAGGACACTCCAACGTGCTTCTGAGCTGTGACACAGCCCTAAGCAGGAGACCCCACTGCAGGGTCAGTTCAGCCCTGGCTCCTACCTCTCTTCAGATGTGGCCCAGAGAACTCCTGATCTAACTGCTCCTTTGTTAGGGACAATATTCCATCCTCCTGGGCATACCCGTCCCTGGCCTGGAAAGTCTCCCTCAGTGCTGGTGCATGCGTGACATGGCACCACTGGTCCGGCCTGAGAAGCCCCTGCCACCGACTCCCTCTCTACCACACAACGGGTCGATTCCATACCCTGAATGTTCTCCACTGCTGCCAGGCCCGACTCTCCCCTCCCAAGCCCTTAGCAAGCCTCTGAGGATCCAGGTTACATTGCCAATGTTTGCATTCACCCAGAGCGGTCTCCAACCCACCCTACCCCTTCACATGTCTGTTCTACTATTTTCTGGTTAAACACTGAATGTTCTACTGGCTTCTTTCAAAGTCGGAGACTGTAAGCACTTGCCAGAAACACCTAGAAGGCACCACCAGTATGAAAAGGGTTGGACTAAATCATAAACCTAGTAATGAGGGGTGGACACAACCTCTTCCAATCGCGGGCTGCCCGGTCATTGCTCTCCACTCCCTCTCCTCAGTGGTCTCCTTCAGGGGCCTGAAGGGTGAGGAGGGGCTCCTACCCACTTCCCTGGCTCTCATGTGACTCGGTCATTGAGGAGACTTTGGGGAACAGACCAAACCTCACCGATGAGTCAGCTGGGACATGTCAGGACACTGACTCAGGGACACTAGAAGCCAAAATAATGATGCATTAACCAAGATTTTGGCTGCAACAGGAAGTGTTCAAGCCACAAAGCAACAGCCCATTCCACCGTCCAGATGTTCAGATGGCAGTACGATCCCTTTAAGCATGCATGAGTTTCAAGGCACACCGTTGCCTGATTCTTATTCTCAAGCAGCTTCACAGGGAACCTTGCAGGATGGTGAGACAGGCCTAGAGTGCCCCAGTCAGAGAGCCACGCTGAATTTTAAGCATTCAGTAAAAGTAGCAAAGCAGTAGCACATGGACCGACACTCACGTGCGTTTGTGAGCATGTGTGATGATCCGTGCTTGCAGAGAGGGTTGGCTATGCATTACAGCTACCACTTAAACCCTTCCCTTTCTACATCAAATTTCTTTCCCTGCATCACATATGTACTAGGTTAAGCAAATTAACAAGTCAGGGATCCTAGTTTGCAGGTATCTTGAGTCTGCTTAGTTAATGGTTTTCCACTCGCACACACGGGTTATTACTGGATGGATCCTCACCATCAAACTGGCTTACAGTGCAATGTCCTAGTGCCCTTCAGAGGACCTGGTGAACATTTTATGAGTAACTACTATTTCTTCCGGGAAGGTCCTAGGCTCTGGGGCTAGAAAGATAAATCGAAATAAAGCTTTTAGTGAAGTAAAGGAAATAAGAAACCAAGCAATAATTGAATTGATATTTTTTAACCCTTTCAAATCCTTACTGAGAAAAGTCATGTATCCAGTAGATTTTCAGATGGAAAAATATTGAAGTTCAAAGAGTTGCTATGTAGCTTTGGTCAAACTTATAATCTAGGGACTAGAGTGCTCACATGGTTGCCGGGCCACCCCAGGGTGGAAAGGGTGCTGTCTGTCCAGCTGCTCCCCCTTGGCAGCTCAGTGGCCGCCATCTGCCATACTGCTTTACATGGAGTAGACTTGATTTCCAGCACTGCCTGGTCCTCTCAGCACAGAGCTGGGGGAATCACCCCTAAGCACTGATGAATGTGACCCAGAAACCCTCCCTACAAAATGGTTAATTAGCTATTAGCCAATATTCTGAGTATCTCCAAAAAAGCTCTTCCTCAGGAAGTGTGTGCAGGTGTGGTTAAAGATCTCGAGGTGTCTTGAAACCCAGTGGCTTTTGGCAAAAATGGGTTCGGACCCCGCAATAAGTTACTGTCGCCGGGCCACCCCAGGGGGGAAAGGGTGCTCTCCCTCCACCTGCTCCCCCTTGGTGGCTTGGTGGCCGCCATCCACCAGAGGCCATTGGACAGTCAGATTTGGTCCTGCAGTGACAAGATACGCGGGGCATCATGGGATGGGGGTGGAGCCGGCCGTTTCCTCCCTGTCCCAACAAGACCCCGAGTCACCACCCACCAACGGCCTCTCTGGCTCCTGATCAAGCTGCTTCATGGCCATGATCCCAGAGACTCAAACAAATCTCAGAACCCAGTGGCTTTTGGCAGAAATGCGTCTGGACCCCGCAGTAGATTATTGTCGCTGGGCCATTCCAGGGGGTGAAGGATGCTGTCCCTCTGCCTGCTCCCCCTAGGTGGCTTGGGGGTGACCATCCTCCAGAGGCCATTGGACAGTCAGGTTTGGGCCCTCAGTGATGAGACACATGGGGCTTCACGAGATGGGGGTGGAGCTGGCTCTTTCCTCCCCGTCCCAACAAGACTCCGAGTCACCGCCCACCAACGGCCTTTCTGGCTCCTGATCAAGCTGCTTAACAGCCATGATCCAAGAGACTCAGGAACAAATCTCGGAACCCACAGGTTTTGGCAGAAATACCTCCAGATTTAATTGCTAAAATTTTGAAATTTCAAAATCGTGCGGTTACTACTGCAGCCACGCAGCATCATATGTTATTCATAACCAGCAATAGAAAACAAATTGTCTACTGTTGCCTTTTCAGCAGATCTGAGTGTTGGGGTAAAATTCCAAATAATATAGTGGGTATGGTGTCAAAATATTGAATGTAATCAAAGTAGAGAGAGAGTAATGTGGAAATCATCTGCCCCACAGGTAGGGGGAGGGTGTGGGATGGGGGCATACTGGGGTTTTTGAGGGTGGAGAATGGGCACTGGTGAAGATATGGGTGCTTCATTGTATGACTGAGACTTAAACCCAAAAGCTTTGTAACTGCTCTCACGGTGATTCAATAAATAAAATTATAAAAAATGAAAAAAAAAAGATCTCGAGGTGAAGAGTATCCTGGATTAGCCAGGCAGTCTCCAAAGCAATTTCAAGATCATGTTTGTTCCTCATTTCTAGTGGTGCTCAGGGCGGACTCCTGGTTTTGTGCTCAGGGATCATTCCTGGTAGGGTTCAGGGGACCCCATGGGGTGCTGGGAATCAAACCTAGGATGGTCACACGTAAGACAAGTGCCTGAGCCTCTGTATGATCTCTTTAGCCCCTCAAGTATCATTACTGAGAGGGAAACAGAGAATGACACAGAAGAGGGACAGCATGACCACAGATACACAGATGGAATGATATGGCCACAAGCAAAGAAATGCCTGTCAACCAGGAAGGGTCAGACTTCTGAGAGATTCAGCAGGAAGTGCTGCCTCCTTGTCAACACCCTGACTTCATATTCTGGACTTTCAATCTCTTAACTGATGTGAGAATAACTTGTTACCATTCAAGACATCAAATTGTGACAATTTATTCCAGACCACCAACACACTATGGCTGTGTATTTATTTATAAATTAAATATTACAAAGTACCCTACTCATTCTGTTATAAGCATTCTAGTTAAAGTGTAAAAGTACTAAAACCATTTGCAGAGCTTAATGACACTGTCCCAGGAGCAAGCAAAACTACAAAATTAATTCCAGCTATGTCTTATAACTCATTCAGGAATTTCAATGAATGGTCACTAAAATTGTAGAAATATATTTCTTCTTACTTTTCATCAAAATGAACTACATCGCAAGTGATGGAAAGGGAGTTTTTATGATCACAGATTAAAATGCATAACCCAGCAGAGAGAGAGGAGAATTATCCTCTGTTTGGTACTCAATTCATAGTTTGTGCCTTTTTTTTTTTTTTGCTTTTGTTTTTAAGACACACAGCTGTCCTGGCAGAAGAGAATACAGAAAATTAGGGTTTATAAAATAAACCATGAAGGCAAGAATTAGACAGTACTCTATAAGCTTTGTCTTGTTAATTATACACTGACCTGGCATGTCACAGAAACCACTTGAAGTCTCACTAGCTTTATCTACTTCCAGAAGAAGCCATGAAACACACACACACACACACACAGGCCCTTGCCAAGTTAAATGGAGAATGTTTATTGAAAAATTAAAATCAGCATAAACTACAGCTTCTGCATTATTGTTGCAGGGACTCAATATTCTACTTCAGAACTTGATAGGCATTAACTCGTGGTGACAAGAGGGATTTGGTTCTCAACTTTATCCTGCTGATATGTAAGAAAATATGTGGATTTTTGTTGTTTGTGCACAAGTGACATTACTCTTATGAATTCTCAATGTTTTAGATTTTTCTTAAAATTTCTAGAGATAGTCAAATCATTTGAAAATAACATCAGTCTCTTTTTAATAGACAAACAACTTGCCTGGATCACCAGCTAAAATGCTGAATATTAGCATACCATTAGTTTATTGTCTTTTGTTTTATTTTCTTTTGTAGAGGAGGCACTTGGCTACTCAGGGATCACTTTCAGCAGTGCTGGGAGGAGAGGGAGAATGTGAGGGACTGTTGGGGGGGTGGGGGGAGGAGGGACACAGGGATGATATGCAGTGTCAGACATTAAAATCAGGGACTGGATCAGGGTCAGCCATACACAAGGCCAGCACTTGAACCTCTGTAGTATCTCTCAAGCTCTATTTACTGCCTTTAATCAGAATGTTCTAACGTTGCAACATTAAATATCGCCTGCTGTGTATTTTTAATACATAGCATTTTTAACAAAAGGATTTTTAACAAAACAATTTCTATATCAATTGAGCCAATACATTGCCTGGCTTTTTATTTCCCCTTTCTAAATTTCAATTTAGGCACTCTGCTTTACAATGCTTCTCATGTGAGAATTTCAGGCATATAATATTCTATTTTCACACCAGTGTCAGCATCCCTCCACCAATGTCTCAAGGT